ACATGTCACTTTGTACAGTATGGTAGGTAAAAGATGACATCTTTAATTATAAGAAAGAGACAAAAACCAAAGTTCTTCCAAAATGTTAAAACTCTGCTATTAGAGTATAAAGCAAAAACGAAAGCATGGATGATTAAGTGTATATTTACAGAATGGTTCAAGAAAATAGACAAAACTAGGAGAAGACAAAATCGTAAAACGGAAATCGCCCAGACGTATTAATCAGAGGTTTAAGTGTGAACGCTCTGAAGAATTGTTCATTTCGGTCGTTTGGACCAGAATGGTTATAAAATGAGTGCATAAATTGGTCAATTCAACATAATTTTGATACAGGGAACGATGAACGAATAGAACGTCATAATAAGATCTGTTCATGACATTATTATGAAGAGATGAACAACTATTAGATATAAGAAAATTCAGTAACGTACTGAAATTTTTCGGAATTGATGGCATGGATTAAACGTTTCGCTGCAAGAGCACGAAAACTACCTGGTCCATAAAGTGTTTTTGAAAATCAAAACGCTTAAATATTGTTCACGGGTGGATTTCTTCACATCTGAAACTAGGGCACTTCAATCTGACAAGTCAGTTTCGAATTCTAGGATATTCAGCTGGGCACCATTTCTTGACAAAAACCAAATTTTTCGAATTAAAGGAAGATTAGAAAAAATCGAATATATAGTTGATGAAAAACATTTGTTTCTTCTTCCTAAAGATTCCAAAAGAAGACAGCATAACAACGTTCTACTCACAGGAGTTGCTGCAACTTTAAAATCAGTTTTAGATTCCTGAAGACCGTCAGTTGATGAAGAAATTCACAGAAAGCTGTCTAATATGTAAAAAATATGCAGTAAAACCAGTGAAACATATGACAGCTCAATTACCTATAGACATGACTGCAAAAAAAACCACCTTTCTATGTTACCAGTGTGGATTTCACAAGTCCTATTTACGCCAAATCTTAAAATGACATTCAGAAATAATACATCATATTGTTCACGTGCGCTATTACACAAGCGTTACATCTGGACCTCATTTCGAATATGCCTGCAAATAAATTCATTTTGGCTCTCGATGTTTCATTTCAAGATGAAGGAACTGTCGCGTCTTTTATTCGGACAATGCGAAAATATTAAAATATCTTGCCAAAGATTTATAATACTTTTATAACTTAAAATTAGCAGTAGACTTTTTTTTTTTTTTTTTTTTTTTCCTAGCTACTGAAGGCTTAACCTGTAAATTTATCGCGGAGCTTGCGCCACAGTAGGAAGGATTCTACGAACTCCTTATGAAGAGTATTAAAAAACTATTAAAAAAAGATCTTAAGCAGACCTCAACTGAATTTTAAAAAATTTATGACTGCACGAAGGGAAGTCAAAAGTAATGTGAACAGACGATCCTTGACCTACATTTATAATGATTTAAATAAACCTGAACCACTTACCCCACACAATTTTCTAATGAACGAGCTTAAAACTGTATATCCATACAATTTTACTGAGATCTGAATACTTCTCCAACAACAGAAAGTCTGATAAAAATAAAGCATTATCAGATAACTTTCATAAAACAGATTTCGAAAAAAAAAAATAAAGAAAAAAATCAGTTTTTTTTTTTTTTTTTTTTTTAAATTTAAGAAATGCTCACTTCTTCGATACACCTAAAACTAAGAAGCTTGAAATTGGTGATAATTGAAGAAACAGCCAAATCTAATTCCTGTGGGATTTACATCGAATAATTCAAGATCTGAAAGGACATAATGGTCTTATAGGATCTTGTGCGGTGAAAACTAAAAGAGAGAACCTTTAGAGAACTGTGCAACTGATATACCCCCTTTTGAAATATCAGACTGGAAAATGAACTGAATTGGCAACATTCATTTAATAATCAAAATCGTAAAAACAACCTTGTATTTAGTGTAGGTATAATGATTTTGATTGTCACATTAGCGTGTTTCTCTTCTAGTCTATTCATTTAATAGTCTTATATTTCATGTTTACTTGTGTAACTTTTAGTTAATTAGATGAGGTATTCTTTATAATTTGATGTTTGTAATTTGGTTTAATAGTACTTACTTATTGAGTAGGTTTTGAATTTTTATGCTATTAATTATGTTTGTTAATCTTACACAATTTCCCCTTTGCTGTTTGTGTTTACATTAGGTAAATATACTTGATATGTAAGTCGCTTTCTTACATTTGAATTCATTTTTTGTGCGTCAAAGTAGTGGCAATTATTTCAAAATTATCAGTTGGGGAATGTACAGAAAAACCTCAACCGATTAATTTGTAATGCCGTTAGAGGGCGCTTCTCTTGTATACCGAGAATGTTAGTTTACGGTGTGGCTTTAGTTAGGGAAGCACCCTAGGAGATTTCCAAGCATCTTGAAATAAATTATCTTTTTATGTAATTGTGTAGTTTTTAACTTCCTTTAGTATTGTCATACATGGTTAGTGAATGCTCAAATCATTTACTCAATTTTGAAATAAAACGGCGAGCTACGAAATGATATACGAAATTGTTCTACTTCTTAATACTACTTAAGTAGGTCTGATCCTAATATACGGTACACACGAGATTTGGACATTGGTGATATATCGGTTGGGCTTAATAGGATTCTCTAATTTTAATATTTTTCTAAATGAACGAGCTAGAATAAGAGATAATAACAGGATGTATAATAAATAGACCCCTCGCTAAATGCATCATTTAAACGAAAGAAAACAATACAATAAAATATAAAAGAAAATCTAAAAAAGGTTTCAGATTTTAAATTAGGTCCAAAGGAGAATTTTTTTAAATTTTTGTGTGTTACCTATATTTATTAAATATCAGTTCTTCGCACTTAAAGCATAAAATTTAATTCAAGAGGAATATCACAAAATACTTTTAAATTGAGCATATCTTTAGAATTTCCGATACACAGTCACGTGCTGGAGATGAAAATGTTTCTTCTGTACGACGTTGAAACTGCTTGCTTTGTTAATCAAAAATTCGTTAAAATTTTACAAAATATGAAATCGATAATAAAACAAAGTCCATATTTTAAATTTGGGCTTCCAGATGCCCATATACGCAGTAGGATTACGTCATTCAAAATTCGATGGCTCTATGTACCGTTATTTTATCACAATTCGAGAAACATACATATATTTATGCACATTCTTCATAATTTAATTTCTTCAAATATAGTACAGGGCGATAACATTCGGTGCCAACAGTTTGAAAAGTGAAAAGGACATTCAGGGTGATTTGATGCAAAATCGCAAATCGAAAACAATAGTCCCTCAGGGAAAAAGCCCATTTGGACTAACAATGTTTCAGATATTTGCTCATATTTTCAAATCATTACTCATCTTTAAATGAATGCCACAGGCCCGAGTTTCAAAAGATGTTCTGTTTCACACATTATTCATATTTGACAAATTTATTCAAACACATGGTTTGTTACTTCCCCCAACAAAACATATATTTTGACATATGACATATGTTTTCACTTGATTGTTTCACTCGACACAAATTTGTTTTGTGTCACAGGAAACTTTGAATTGGAAAGTATAAAAATGCCATAGCATAAAAATACTTTTCAGCCTCCACTGCCATCATGGGCTCCTGTAATTAATTCAATAACCTTTTGTTTTGCCTAATAATTAGAGAGTAAACAATACTGTCAGAAACAATTATATAGACTTCAAATTAAAATGTCACACATCATTTCACATATTAATAGAATTTGGTTAAAATATTCATTTTCAGTTATGAAGAAGATAATTTAATCACTGCAAAAGTTGTGCAAATATGCCATGATTTCTTTGCCTTTAAGCAATCCTAATAAATTTAATAACCTTTACTTGTGGTCATTGATTAGAAACCAAAACACGGTGAGAAACAATAACATATATTACTAGTCAAAATGCACATTGCATTTTCGTTTGAAGTATTTAGTTCAAAGTGTTCAAGAACTCCTGCATGTAAATGACCTCATAAAATGATTAATGTTTAAATTGGCTGGCAGTAAATAGTAACCTTGAGTAAGTACTTTTCAGGAAATTAATCACTTTGGTTATAAGGTATTTCTCCCACCTTCTTAGCATGCCTTCGTGGTGTGGTGGTCTGCACACATGGGTGCGTATTCCAGAGGTCCATGGTTCGATTCCCGGTGAAGGTATTGCTCATTTTTTATCTTTCCTGCTTTCAAAAAATAATGTCTCTACAGTGGCACCTGAACTAAAAGGCTGGTGGATGATAATTCTCCACACCCAGGAATTGGCAATTGGGTCCCTTCAAAAAAAAAAAAAAAAAAAAAAAAGTTGTTCTTTAAAAAGGAGGAGTATATAATGTATTTCTCCCGCCTTCTTAGCATGCCTTCATGGTGTGGTGGTCTGCATGCTGAGTGCATATTCCAGAGGTCCATGGTTCGATTCCTGGTGAAGGCATTGCTCATTTTTCATGTCTCCTGCTTTCAAAATACTTAATCTCTCTACAAGGTAGAGACACATCTAAAGAAAGCACTTTTTCATAATAAATAGTTAGGAATTCAAAGGTGTCAACCAATTCCAATTATATTTGCTTTTATACTAGCAGGAAAAAATAAGCTTTGTTTCACTATATATTATAAAGAAGAATCTATTTCTCTTCATATTGTTTTTATAAGCCCTTATTATGATAGGCTTTCAAGAGTGATTTGCACTAGACATAATATATATGCAATAATTTCAAACAAATATGCACGTTTGCTCGCATGTTAATTCGGTTTACTTAATTAGGGCAAAGCATCCGAGAGCTATCAGCCTCAGTAGAGGAATGCCTTTGCAGAGGTCTTTCTAAATTGCATGTTAATACACTGCAATTTTGTAGATTCTTAACATACATTTCTCTTTCAAAAACTGTTATAAATACTAAGAGTATGTAAATATTTCAAAATTCATAATTATCAAAAAGCTTTCTCAAATAAAAATTTTTGAAAGGACTAAGAAATGTTTGCGCATTCAGTAAAATAACACAAAAATGTTGTTTTATAATCAGGCAATAATTTTACTGAAGTTCCATTTACAAAAATATGATGAGCGTTTGTGAAAGAAATACAAATTTACAGCACAAGGTTCAATGATTCATATCAAGGTACAACGAGATGCTGTCATTTATGATCATACCCTGTACAAAAATGGAACATAAAATGATAGAATGTGATTGTAAAATTAGCTTGGACCATACATTACAATTCTGTGAAACACATCATTAAAATTATACAGAAGAAAGATTCACATAAAGTTTTTTAAGTTTTTTCTTTTTCATTATAAGGTAGAAACTTTTACAATAAATGCAACACACAGACACAAAATGAATTTTTTCCTCACTTTTTTTTTTTTTTTTTTTCCTTTTATATGATAAAAATTAAACAACTTAAACTCATTACTTGAATTGAATTTCTACTTTACATAAAATCAGTTTAAAAACCATTTTTTTTAACCTTAGCTTGTCAAATAAAGTCATCTTTAAACTTCTGGAATGCAAAACGGAAATTTCTTTTGAAAATTAAAAAAAAAAAAAAAATTTAAGTTCAGAATTTTCTCACAAATGTGAATGTTTTGAAAACGCTGAGTTATCTTTTCAAAGGAATAAATTTCACTGAAATATACATGAAATGCAAACACTTAACCACTTCAGTATTAAATATAAAAACTTTTCTGAGATTTGAAGTTATAACTCAAAAAACTAAAATAAATGAAAAATATTATTATTATGCAAGTACGTGCATTATCAATTCTATTTTATTTCAAATAGATAAAAATTTAATAAGTTTCATAATATATAACAAGATGTATAAATTCATTTTCTGTAAGAAATAGTTGCACCATAGGGCATACTAGTTTAATGTTTTAGTATACTGAAGGGGTTACTTGTAATTGCATTGTTACCAAATATTTCAATAAGTACTTCAACAGACTACTAATTGTTATAAACCACAGTCACCGGCAACAAACTTTAAAAGGCTGCACAGAAAAATTCTATCTAATTGTTTCACCCTGCATGCAACTGATCCAAGTGCTGCAAGCAATGAGATATGCAGAAGAAATTATATAAAAAAGGAAAAGATATGAGGTCGAAGTAAATCACTGATGAGTTTCTGAGACTGATTATGAAGCTTCAGAAGTATTGTTTTTCACTAAATGGCAGAGAAAACTATGTCATTACAGTTTGCGATGATGCAAGAGTTGATACTGCAGGAGGTACAATAGGCCTTTCTTCCAGTCTATCATAATCTAAATGAAATTCTTTTGCTACTTTTCTCCAATTGTCAGCATCAAAGAAATAGTACATGCCCCTTTCATATGTTGGGGACTTTTCCGTAGGATTCATTCCAGGAACTCTAGTTATCCACACTCTCTCATCCTTGTGGAATCTCCAATCTCTATTATACCTAATTGAGAGGAGAAAAAAAAGTTACATTTATAAAAATTATTATACAATTTTAAGCGCATTGTGTATTACAAATGTAATGTTTCAAAATATATTTACTTTAACAAAAATACAGCACATATCAATTAAAAAACTCTCTTTTTGGCTCAGATAGAGATTTAAAAAATATAATATTAAATAAACATATTGTGGACAACATAAATTATAAATAAAATAAAATATATTTAATATAAAATTAATATGAGAAATACCCCTTTTAAATAGAACAGAGATTTAAATAATTTTAAACATATTATAAATTACTCTGCATCAATTAATATTCAAATCCCTTTATTATACTCAATCATTTTAGACTCAATGTAACAATAGATAACACTTTAATAATTTCATACTTTTTAACTTTTGTTACTCAGTTCTCAGTTAGAAAATATTCAGTTCAATGCACGCAAGCTGCAGAAGTGAGCTGTTATTGCTTGAACTCACGCTCTAAAACTTTAAACAACATTTTATGTAATTCCATTTTCTGTTTATTGTTTTTCTGTGTGTTAATGTTAGGTGTTAATAAAACATTATTTAAAATTAACTCCTGATAGATTTTTTAAGCATTAACACAATGTTACATTTATAAGCAATAAATGTATTTTTAGAATTATGCTAAATGCAAGGAGAATAAACTTATTAGGAAAACAAGCTCTTGTTGCACAATAATTAAATGTTTTAGACTCAATCCTCAATTTCGTGTTTCACTTTTGTGTCAGATCACTTCTCAAATAAAAGGATGCTGCCATCAGATGTTATTGTTATGTATTATTTTTTTAAATATAATAAAGCAAATGTAAAAAGAAATGTATAGCAACATTTAATCATCCAGCAAGAATTCAAAGATATGCTGCTTTTAAAAATTTTCTGATTACTTACGTCATTGATTTGTGAACCTGAAACAATACATAACCACAGGGATATACTTTGATCCATGCAATATTTTCAAATCAAAGCACAAGAATAGAAGAGTACATAAGCAATTATAGTTATCATTGTCCATTGCAAGCAGAAGAGAATAATAAAAAAAGAGTAGTCTTTATAATTAACCATGAACTGTAAAGTTTATAAACAAGGTAGATTTATTTTATTTACAAATGATCAACCAGAAGCGATTGCTTACTTAAAGCTCATTGTGTGGAAGGTCATACTGTTTCTGTTTTATAGATTTTACATTATGTGGAAAATAACTAATTTTTTTCAGCTTATTACTGTATGGTATTGGCGTTTTACTTCGATTATCACACATCGCAACTTAAAGTCTGATACCCATTACACCACTTCAAAAACTTTATGACAAATATGATATTCAAACATGAAATTTAGAATTTCTTGGAATAACATCTGGATCTTAAGGGCATCCATTGTGTCTCATTTTGATAAAACAATACCAGAAGATACAGATCATGAGATTCCTGAGAATAAATTAAATAACTATGAACATTATTCATCCCATTATGCTGTTATCAAAAATGCTAGTTTGACAAGAATGATTACTGACTGGTGTCATTCTAAATTTAGAAGAAGAATCAGCAATTCAGATTAAGTTAGGTTGGACTGTAATGAACCCACACATAATAGCTACTAACTTTTTCTCAATAAATGTGGTTACAGACACAGTTGACATAAAAAAAAAAAAAAAAAAAAAACTTAGAAAATAAAGCTCTAAAATTCTTCAAGAAGACTCAGAAGATATGATGAGAAGCTGCTTTTCAAGAAAGCTTACCCTAAGTCAATGAGTAATATGGAAAAAGCAAAGAATAGATTACTTAAAGTCACTGAGCGTTTATAATTGTAGTTATAAACGCTCAGTGACTTTAAGTAATCTAATCCAGAACAGTTGAATATGAACATTATAAGAAAAATTATTGAGAATGAAGAAATTAACAACAGACATTATTTATACAATCATATTATTATCAAAGACACTAATTTCACCAAAAATTCTAACCTGTTTTCAGTGCTTCAGCAAAAGAAAAGAACTGAAAGCTTTCTCAAACATTTGTGTCTAGAAAGGCAATCGAATTTGATTCTGAAGACAGCTCAAATGCAATTTAGAAACTCTGCAACAGGTGTTCTATCTGACATATAGAGGTGATGGGTATGTGAATATGGTCAAAGCACATGAGAACTCATGAACTTCGAGGAGAACTTTCTAAGGAAAACTAGCACATATTCATATTATACGTGGAGAAAACCATAAAAACCAACCATGCAGCCAGCGTGCTCTCCTGGGCTTGAACACAGGCCAAACTACTAGCATTTCATGACCTTAAACACCATGCCACTGTTGCAGTCCAAGGCTTTCTACAAATTAAACTGTTAATTAAAGTTGAGATTGTTTACAATATGTACAGGAGAATGGTCAGCATGAGACATTGCAATGTGATACTTGACGTATCATTTAACCCCTTCTTATTGGAAACAACCATACAGCAAATGATAAATAATTCTCCTGATGCCTAGAATGATATGACAGAAAAACTGAAATGATCATTTTATACAGAGAGCTGTATTACTAGAGTAGAAAATGAAAAGAAACAAAAAAAAATTATAGAAAAATCTAAACAAATGACATCAATGGTACAATTTGAAATTCAAGGATGAATCAGCATCCCTAAGAAATATCATAAAACAGAATCCTCTGGTGCAGTAGTGTCCAACCAATCACTCGTGGGTACTAGGAAGCCTGCAATTCTATCTTTACGCACTCGCCAGCTACAATTGTAACACTGCCACGAGACAAAAACTTTAATACTACTATAAAAAACTCATAAAAAAAGCACAATTACACATTACATATAAAAGCCTTGCAATTCCAAATATTATTATTAAATAAATTGCATAATAAGTACTGCCCAAAATATATGTGTAGAGAGATCTGTTAATAACACTGATGCAACTAACCATAACCAAGTTATTTATGAAATACAATTACAAAATTAGGAAATGGCTTTGAATCTAACAATGATGATGCCTGATTTAAGATTTTTAATGAATCACATCAATATTTTATTGCATTGAAATAATTTTTTTATATAAAATAACCACTGAATAACTAAATCTTATATTAACATTTTTCCAATAAATAATTATTCTAATATACTTTAAAATAAGCTACATCACAGAGAACACTTCCTTAATCATACATACTAATGATACAATTACAAGGCATTGATAAAATTAACAATAACATATATAAAAAAAAATTAACTCATTTTATTTTTTATACAAAAACATACGATACATAAAGTTAAGTATTACTGGTAAACTGCATTAAAATTCTGAAAATTTACAAAAATTTGCTTTTTAATATATTATTCATTTAGATTGGATACTTTTACTATATTTACCACAAGCAGATCTCCTGCTGTATGAAGTATTTTTATCATTTACAGAATACTTTAATGATAGTTAAAAAGATCAACATACAGTTCAGCTGCTGCTGCTATTTGTAAGACATCCCCACTAAACATGTAAAACAGGTAAAATAAGAGATCTTCTCCATATCGGTTCAATTTCACAGGTGCTAGTTTATCACGAATATTTTGATTAACCAGGTATTCAGATGGAACATGATAATCTGGAACAAAACCAACTTCTTTACATAAGGACAATGTTATGGTAGATTTAAAAGAAAGCATGTATAAGCAAAAAATCAATTAAAATATCACATCAGCTCAAATATAAGAATTTTGTTTTACCTTAATGCTCCTTTGAAAACCATACATGCAGCCCAACACTTCATAAACATATTAAAATAATTTATATCTTTACTTTAAAATATATTTACTTCTTACTAAAAATATATTTCATTACTTAAAAATTATACTTATTACTATAAAATACTTATTACTTAAAAATATATTTTATTTTTTTATGATATGGTAATTAACTACTTGAATACTCTTCTTCAAAAATAGCTTCAACATATCAAATTTGAATATAGTATACTGGTGCCCATAAAATTGTAACATTATGAAGGAAGCACCTATCACATGAAATTTTATGTGATAGAACACACAACTAATTAACAGTGCAACACATGTGCATCACAGGCACCAATAACACTGCCTAGAAAGCAATATAAAAGAGGAAAACACAGAGCAGATTTTCAAATGGAATAGTGTTTGCTGCTGTTTGCACAAAATACCTAATTATTCCTTGTATAAGAAGACAGAATCAAAGGAAGCACATATAAAATTGTATCACAGGAGAACAGTGACCATGATTGTGTATTAACTTGCTGCAAAACTGACGCTCATAGTGATGGAAATCCAACTACTGTCATCACATTTGAGTAGAAAATTGATTCTAGGATGAATGAATGGAGAAATGCATAAAATCACAAAGACATTACAATACAGTAATGCCCAAGAGGACTGACATTTGCATCCATGGTGCGTAGTTTCCATTATAAGTGCATGTATCTAAGAAGGCAGATATACACATAGCCTGTATGGATTCAAAAGGATAGGGATCTTAATGAATATATTTCAGAATGATTTCAGTATTCACATAAAGCATGAAATAAAAAGCAGAAAAGCGAAAGACCTTGCCCCCCCCCTTTTTTTTTCTTTTCTTTTTGCTGTTGTTATTGTTATTTTTATAACAAACTGGATTCTTTCAAAACAAATTTCAGCCAAAACATGGGAAATCTATAATCCCCTTGAAAGGTTACAAAAGTTCAGTTGATATATTTTAATATAAATATCAAACATTAATAGAAATCATAAAATCTTAAGAATAAAGATAATATAAATACCTATATCTTGCGGCCTACAAGGATGCTCTGCCCAGGGCCCACCAAAACTTGGATACAAGTTCCTATAATAAACACAATAGTGACTGATATATATGTGTGTGTATATACATACATATATATGTAATAAAAGAAATTTAGAGAAGTACTGATGAGATATAGAAATGCATAAATACTGATTACAAAGCACATAGATAGCTCAGAGCATAGAAGATCCATATCGAAGATGAAGAATTTTGATTGCATAGTATGCTAAAATGTTGAATCCGTTGTAATTAGGAAACTTGGCAGCCGAATAATAAAAAATATTCATTTTTATTTCAATTGACATGTGTGGCCACACTTTATACTGCACTCCAATCATGCCTATTTCTAGAACATTTGCATTTTTCATACTATTGTGATAGCATATTTCGTAACTGTTCCTTTATATTATCTATATTTTCGACCTTGTCCTGATTATCTGTCTAGTCCTGCACCACTGTCTTTAAACCCTTTCTATATTCTTGGCATGATGCTTTTGACTACATTTAGGTCTTTACACACTTGCATCAGTATTTGTTCTGTTACCGCTCTCCCAATAGCATGCTATTTCTTATAATTAATGAGATGCCTTCTCAATAACATCTTCCATCTTTCATGCATGAAAATGCTACCCATCTATTCACAGTAGAATCCTTGAAGTTTGAATTTACAACATCTCCTTGCACGATGTGCCAAAAGAACAAGCACAAAAATTTGCATATTTTTGTGTTGTGAATCTCCTTAGACTGTTAAAGCATCACTTAATCAGAATCAAGAATAAAGAATCAGAATCACTCTATTCTCAAACTATACGAACTCTGTTCAAACTACTCAAAACTTAATCAGAATCACACTACTCAAACTGATGCCACTTGGCAAATAGGCACGAAAAATTCTAAGCTAATCAGGCCTACTGTCTGTCTACGAGTGTCTGGCGGATGGCGGTTGCTATAACAACAGGGCTAGTATATTTCAAATAGGGGCGAACCAAGGGTTGCTTTATTGTTATTTTGTTTTTGGTGACTGTTGGGTGAGGGAAAAAGAGCTATCACTCGTCTTCAAGACACCCTTATGGAAAGTGGGTCAAGACTTGCTTTTTCGCAACAGACAGCTGCAGACTAGTTGGCGAGAGCTTTTCTTATGATAGACAGACTGTATCTGCATAATCCATAATTAAAAATTACTTGCCTGCAATGCTGCCATTCTGATTATTTTTAGGAACGCCTATATAATTCTGGTATTTCTGTACAGAGTGAAACATAACTATAAAAATTACAGATCAGTATGGATTTTCAGCCTAACTCATACGAATTTTCATTTATTTTAAAATACCCCATCTCTATCAGTGACTGACCAGTATGGATATTGTGGTCACATGGATTAAAATCTCCATTTTACGTGCATAGGGGAAGTTTATTACCAACATTTTATTACAATTAAGATGACACCTCAAGAACTAAAAAAACAAGCATAATTAAGACAATAAAGACAATTAAAACAAGATATAGCTTGTGATTGCAATAAGCAGATAATGTTTTGCTGAAAGCACACAGCACTTATTTAAAATATGATAACTGTAAAGAAAAAAATTTTGAAGGATTTAGGTTCCTTTTTTTCAAAAAAAAAAAAAAAAAAAATTGAATATTGGGCACTAAGATTTAGGATAAATGCAAACCTGAAACTAGATATGAATTCAAAATAGATGGATATTTTACAAATTCTATCCCTATAAATTAAGTGTTGACCTTAATTTATGGGGCTGTCATAATCTATCATTAAACACATGCATACAGCAGTCATCCTTTATAGCTATATCATACCATGATTTCACTTAAGATCATGAGAATTTTTCAAAAGTCTGTAAGCCATACAATGGCTCATATTAAAATAATATAGTTATTTTTCTATGTGATTGCTGTCGAATCAATGGCTGGCTACCGATCTGTATTCAAAAGTTAAATAAGCATTTCACAACATTACTAGAAAAACTATCTCAATACATTGAATGGTTTTAGTTTCTTCACAAACCAATAAAATAATTATAAAATGATCACCTCTAACTTGTAGTTGCTAATAACGGATTGCTTTTTGCATATGAAATGTTGATTTAAAATTACATCTCAAATAATGTAAATAAGCTTTGCAAACTAAATGTTTTTCTTTAAAAAAAAAAAAAAAATTATATACTTTGATTTTGTTCTTTTATTAACATGAAAAAGTTTACAATTAACTTCATAAAATTCAATGAGGTCAAAATTTGCACATGAAAAATATACATATATAAAGAAAATTGAAAGAACTTACTCTGTTGTATTGAGATTGAGACCAAGTGTTGTTAAGTCACTTCCCAATGCAAGAGAGACAAGCTTAGGATCCGATTCAGCTGCTCTAATGAATGTTAATAACCCTACCATTCCAAACTGGTCCGTCACCATACCAGGAGGAATGTTTGTGACTCGGCCTAAGAGGAAAAAAACATTTTAACTCTCAGTTATTTATCACATTATTTCAGCATCAATAAATTAAGAAAGGAAAAAATATTTCAAAATCCAAAATTCTGTTTGAAATCCAATGCAATAAAATATTTTCAAAGAAACAAACTTCTGAATTTAGGTATACCTTGTTCCATCGTATTTCAAAAATACTGTTCATTTTCAAAATCACAAAATTATAGAAATCTTATATCAAACCACTCATCTTGCACCTTTTTGTTACTTATATCTGCTGGCTGGTCTGTGTATCATATTCCATGTCCCACAATATTCCAAAATTTTCATTAATATTATAATGAAGTTAGGCAAAATTCCAGTTATCTGGTCTTGAAATGACTAAAAGGCATGTATTATTTAAGTCTTCAAAAGATTATTAACTGTTAAAATTATCCATCTCATAGAGCTACTTATAATTATGCACTTGTTTTCAAAAGCTGTTTAGCTTAATTTGTTTGCTTTTCTAATTTTAATTGGTAAAAGTTTTACTAAGTTTGTAACCAAACTTCAAAGTAATTCAATGATTTTGATAATTTAAAGTGTTTTTATTTTAAAGATATTTAAGAAGTAATTATGTATGTAATTTTAATGAATCTTAAGTATGCAATCTTTGGTAACAAAACTTGCTTCCTTCATGTTATTTTATAGAGGCAACAATCGAAATTCTTCTCAGTAGCTCAATGTCAGTTTAAAATTTCTTAATTTCACCTGCATAAAATTTATCTTTCTACTTAGTTTTTGGTGTTGGTAAAATACGAATCAAAATATTTTATGTTAATTATAAATTATTTTAATTTTAATGAAGATGCCTTTAATAGCAAAAACTTTGAAGATGGATGCTGTATTTTTTGGGAAAAGGAAGGGATAATTCAAAGTAAAATCTGTTCATTAATATTTCTTTGGTTATCCCTAAATTTTTTCCACCACTAGTCCTGTTGAAAGGTTATTTAAAATGCACATATATGCAGCTGTTCATTTAATTTTTAATAGCAAATGCATCTGTGCTCCAATACAGTATTACTATTCATCAAACACTTATATTTATCACATGTCTACAACTGGGTTAAATGATTTAAAATTACAATGCATAAGTTGGAAATTTTAAAGTTTACTTAGAACAGGGTTTATAGCCACATTTTAGTTAAAAAAATAAGCACCTACCTATAAGCACTTTTCAAGTACATTTTAAGAAAAAAATAAACACCTGTCTAATTACATCATACACAACTGCATAACCTTAAAAATTAGACTTGTAATTTAAAATATGAGAAATGAAGCACTTATTAAGAGAGAATAAGTATTACCTCTGGAAAAACATTACTCTTTTTTTTTATTATTATTTTAAATAATAGTTTACAATGATAGAAAAAAAAAAAAACTATGAAGAACTAAACTAAATTACAAGATTTAATGATGAAATTTCAGTTCAAAATAGAAAAAATAAATAATAATAAGGCATATTTATTGTATATGCTTGGAACCTAATAATAAATACAATTTATTTTTCCACTCATATTGATATTTAAATAATTTAATCTAAATTATGAACATTTTCTAAATTTTCATTGTATATCAGTTGTTTCTTAACAGATATTGCAAGCAAAATAATTTAAATAAAAAAGAGGAACATTTCTGAAATCAGAAGACAGAAATTTGCTTCATGCAGTCATCTTTAACAGTAAAAGCTTAACTAACCCGCATATTTGGAAACTGGCGAATATTCGGACAGTCAAGCGTAACTGAGGAGGAAAAAGGGGGGGTAGCGGAGGAGGGGGGGGGTAGGCTAGACTATAGCCGTTCTTTAGATTTTTCCGCTAAGTAAATGCTTTTGACATTTCAATATGTGCATCATATAAAAATAAACCAACGGAACTAAAAAATATTCTGCTTAGCAAGCACAGTGAAAAGGTTTTAAGTGTTCATAAACAAATCTCGGACTGAACATCAAAATTAATTATCTCTGCAAAATATCGCAAACATTATTGCGCAATACGTGCGCCGTAATTCTTCCCTAGGTGATATTACGCAATCATAATCAACAACTGCCGGTATTGGGAGAATAAGGAACTAAATAACTGGGGTGTTTTTCTTTCTAATTTTCAACAGACGGCATTAAATTTCCAGAATAGAATCATTCTTTGCTTGGGTTGGTAGACCGAAGAACTTTTAGTCCTATTCAATCCAGATTGGAAAATGACCAAAAAAAAAAACAAAAAAAAGAAGGTCTGTTGCTTGTTTTGCAGCGAACTGTAACAGTTTCAATATTCAAGATTTTGCGGAGAAAGGGAAGACCTCCCAACCTTCGTACTGTATAATGTATTGGCCAAAAAAAATGAAATTATTTTGACTATTCGATTACTTTCCCTTTATAAGCCATTCCGAATATTATTCCTTAGAAAGCTAATCTGTGTTAAAACACAACCATTTTTGGAAGTTTACTATAATTCAGCAGTTGCTGCAACTATGTTATTATAAACATTCATACATATACTCATAATATAAGCATAATGATCATAATAAACACGAATATGAACTGACCAAGCAGAACAAGAATGCAAATTTTTAAGATCTTGATAGAAATTCAAACGTGTGTAGTATTTGGGTGGGAGGAAAAGAATGCCGAATGTACCGGAATTTTCTACTGCTTTTGCAATTCTTTGACCAATAGAACAACGGGCACCTGTCTGTACTCTTCGTGCACACCAAAGGTTATGTTAATGCAGAGAAAGGGGGAAAAGCTATTTCCGGGAGTATGATTCACCATCTGACATTCCATATTAGGAAGAAAAGTTGTTTATTTAGTTCCTGCTTTGGTACCTGGAAAAACAGCACGTTCATTAAAAAAAAAAAAAAAAAAAAAAAAAAAAAACCCTAAAAACAAAAAACAAAAATAAGAGCTTTAAAGAAAAAGTAAGGGCCTATAAGAGCCTTTATATTTTATTTTCAAATATAAGGACTTATAAGCACTTATAAGGACCACTACAAACCCTGTTAGAATTTTTAAATGCATTAAAAAATTACTTCTCACTATTATTAATATGGTTCATGAAGTTGCATACCCTATGAAAATTTTATCAATGATGTAGCACTGTTAAGGTTACGAGATGTTAGATTATTCAAACATGACAAAGCATATACAGGCTATTTGCGTAAGAAAAGGATGCCTTTGTTTGAAGGATTTTTGCGTGGGAAATTGGCTGATATTCAATGCTAATCAAGGAAGAAACTCCAGGAATCAACCATGCAGTCAGCTTGTTTGAGATTAAATCTAGGTCAAATTTCCACCATATAACGGTCTTAATCCCAGGTAGGTCACAGCATTTTTGAGAAGCTATTTCTTTAAATAATTTGCTATTTATATGTTTAAATGTACTGGTAATTTAATATACAAATTTGGGTTACACACAGTACTATGTTTATTAAAGAGATTAAGCTTTTCAAATTTTAACAATATGCTTTGTTCTTTAAAATTTAACATACTCTTAACCCCTTCGTGCCGACTGTCACGTATATGTGCCAGCAACGAACACACTTATCTACCGGCCGACATGCAGGCGTGCCAGAGCATTGTCGCATTCCCTACCGACTGTCACGTATTTGTGCCAGTACCTTGGAACGTTTTTCAAACTATAATTTCTGCCACAAGATGGCACTGTATGCCCATATGGTTTCAGATACATGTACATTAGACTTTCTACTCGAAATGAGAGAAGCATGACTCACATACGCGTGTTTTTGATTATATATACAAGCGGGGAACTAAATGTTTCCGAATGGCGTGATTTATGACGTCTCTTTAAATCGCACTTTATTCACACGTGGTAGTTGTTTATTGTAAGTATAAACCAACAGTTATATGCACTAAAGCGTTGAGTATTTCGGTTTACAGTTCAGTTTTTAGAAAATAAATAGATCTTGTTAGACGTGAATTCTTTCTGTTTTTAACGTTTCAATGTCGAAGCGTCGAAAATGTTTAACAGAGCATGAAATAGCAGAAATGATGCAAAATATTTCAGATATTGATTCTGAAATTCTGATATTCTGATATTGATTCTGAAAGATTAACTGAAAGACATTTTCCCAAACTTTGTTCAGAAGAGACTGATAAAAAAATGAGACGACGATGCTTCGTTTGTTCACATTCCCGGAAAAATCCTCCAAAACGGCAAATGAGTTATTACGAGTTCAAGGAATGTAACGTAGGACTGTGTGTATATCAATGTTTTAAAATTTTTCATACAAAAAGAGAATATTAAGTAATATATTTAGTTTTCAGATGTACAATGTTAAAAGTCATAAAATGGTGAGTAATGAAAATGAAAATGTGTTAAAATATGCATTTCAAACAAGAAATAAGGTAATTAAAGTATATATATAAAAATATCTATAAAGCATAAGCCGTTTTAATACTCTATAGAGCATTATTAAACAATGTGTTGAACTCGGAAATTTCATGGATTTAGGCTTAGAAGCAAAAAAGCCCCCGGCCCTGGAGAGACGCTCGCGGAAGACACTGCCGGCCTCCGCGATAAGCGCGCGTTTTCGTTACCCGGCTCAAAGGGGTTAATTGAAAATAATTAAATTACTAGTAACAACGTATAAGTTTTTAAATAAAAGTTTCATTTCTTTCATTTAAATTAAAAGTTAGAAATGATTAATCTTAGAAAGATATGTTGAATGCAGAGATGAGTCCAAAACAAACCTTTTGCTACAAAAGCAATCAAAAGCTTAATGAAATTCAAAATGCTATTCCAAGAAGCACATGCTTTATATACACAATATAATTTTAAAAGAAATTAAAAGCACTTTTTTCATAGAGATTTTTGTTTTATGTGATGGTTTAGAGCTAAAGTTGAAATAAGTTAAGATAAATCTATATGTAAATGAATAATATAAAAGAAATTAGCACTACTAGCATGAAAAAAACTCACCGTCTTTGGACGTTTGTATTCCTCTTTTTTGTGAAGGATTAGATGATTTGTCATTAGAAAAGTGATTAGAATCTTTTGATGACTCTAAACACCTCCCAGACGTCTGCAATAAAAAACAGAAATTATTTTTCTTTTCCTTTTATAAAGGTCAAATTTAAATACAAGCAAATAGAGCATTTGCACTTATTCTTTAATTTCGGCTACCGAATTAAACATTTTAACAAACGGGAACTTAATAATGCCAAAAGAAAACTGAAATATTTCCAAAACAAATATCCTCACTTTATTACTCTACAGAAAACATCATTTAAAATCAACTATCACTTAATCAGATGTGAAAATGATAAAAAAAAATATTACACAACTACTCATGACGCAGAGAGGGAACGGTTGGAAACATATTTTCCATCACATTTTTTCAAAACATATCAGCTGTTCTTATGTATGCTAATGTTGCTTGCATAGGCAGATAAAGAAGCCCAAAGAATCCAGCCATTTGCAGTAAGAATGAGTACATTTGAGAGGAATTATACAAGCCACTTAAAAAAAATTGACTGGTTAAATCTCTGAAATGTCTAGCAGCTGCAACACAGCTATGATGAATTCAAATGTTCTAAAAATACATCATAGTGGTTCTAAAAATACATCATACCATAATGATGGCTTGGTGTCAGGCAGGCTTAAGACAGCAACTGTTCAAGATGATTATGAAATAGTCAAAACTGAAGTTGATAACTTACTGTCCTACTATACAGAAACACATACTCCCATCAGCTAAACCATGATATTGTGATGTGCCATCCAAAGAAGGCTGTTAAAGGCTATATTCCAAAGCTAGCATCAATTGTAATGCCTAATACAGTACAAAGTCTGTAATCCAGACTCATCGGGACTTCAGTGATTTCAGATTAGGGGTTTTTCCAGATTATAGATCATCAATTTAAATCTGGTAAGATGGCATGCAGAAATTATACAATTAAAAATATGAAATTGTAATTTATGAAATAAAGAACGATTATGATCTAAAGGGTATCAAAACTTACAAAAAAAAGCTTAATATTTATTCGTTTACTTTATTAAACATTTCTTTCGATGTAAGGATGCTTCCACAAAAAATTTTAAAAGTTCCTTTTTCTTGTGTCATATATAGTGGACTTTCCAATGACATACTTCTCGCATAATTTTTAGGTGAATATAATTTTGAGGCGGATATGCCTTTATCCATTTTTTGCAGCAATTCTACTTTTTGTTTACTGGACATCGAAACATGCATTCGCATTGTAGATCCTTTAGCAGCTCCAGAATTAGAAACTCTTTTTAACATAATCGAAAGTTCAAGCTTAATTTTTATAAAATTGTTCTAACAGTCTGCAAAAAAAAATAAGCCGGATCCAATTAGAAGATTAAGGAACAGCACAATCTGCAACATTAACTGAAATGCCTTATATAATTTTAGCCTAGCTTATACCGTATTACTTAACATATTTAAGACACAATAACACGCCGAATAAATACTAATTAAGAAGTCAAACAACAAAAATCAGCGTTATATTTACGAAATTTTCACAGGACTAGTTTCGATGGTTTTACCGAACCATCATCTTCAGCTGCAAAACCACAAATGAACAAGATAGGAAATAATGATTAGATAAGATAAGAAAGCCTGGACAAGAATAAGCAAGTGGCGCCATCTGTTGGCGAAACCAGAACTAAAACATAATTTCTCTAAAAGCCGAAGGCAAATTTGGATTGGAATTAGGATCGTTAACTAGAACAGAAAGATTTTTATGAATGTGAAATGCCTCTAGAAAATCCAGTTCTCCAATGGAAGATGTTTTTTGAATAATTTTGGCAGCAGAAAAATTGAAAGTGTGATTTTCGGACCAACAATGTTGAGCAACAGAAGACTTCTGTGTTTCCTTTTTTCTAACATATGCCTCATGTTCCTTGATGCGAAATTTTAAGGCTCTCTTAGTTTGGCCAATATAAATTAAACCACACTGGCAAGGAATCCTTTTACATTGGCCAAACTAAGAGAGCCTTAAAATTTCACGTCAAAGAACATGAGGTATATGTTAGAAAAAAGGAAACACAGAAGTCTTGTGTTGCTCAACATTGTTGGTCCGAAAATCACACTTTCAATTTTTCTGCTGCCAAAATTATTCAAAAAACATCTTCCATTGGAGAACTGGATTTTCTAGAGGCATTTCACATTCATAAAAATCTTTCTGTTCTAGTTAACGATCCTAATTCCAATCCAAATTTGCCTTCGGCTTTTAGAGAAATTAGTTTTAGTTCTGGTTTCGCCAACAGATGGCGCCACTTGCTTATTCTTGTCCAGGCTTTCTATCTTATCTAATCATTATTTCCTATCTTGTTCATTTGCGGTTTTGCAGCTGAAGATGATAGTTCGGTAAAACCATCGAAACTAGTCCTGTGAAAATTTTGTAAATATAACGCTGATTTTTGTTGTTTGACTTCTGAATTAGTACTTAACATATATTCAACTTTAGAAGTGATGACAATGCTTATTAAAGTTGAATAAAAATTAATCTCAGATTATTAAAAACACTGCAACAACCAGCTTACTCAGTTTTTTTCAAGTATTTCTTTGAACTGAGACTTAATTGTTTTAAAATAATATTCACAGTCAGATAGTTACTGTTGTTTGATTTGCATCAACATAAAACTGCCAAACAGTTGGTTTTTTTTTTTTTTTTTTTTTTTTTTTTTTTTTTTTTTTTTCCCCTCCCAATATTTATAAAACATCATTTTTGCCAGGTTGATAAGAATGAAAGCCAAACATATGCAAATTCATACCATACTTGTTCATAGCTTTTACGCTTTGATTAGATTTAAAAATAAAATTAGAAATATGCTTGTCAATAGTCAAATTTATAAGCAAAATAGTCCAAAAATTCAAATTCATTCTAGGAAATAAACAAAGAAATTCCAGCTGTGCAATTGCTGTACGGAATCAGCTGCCAAATGGGATGATTGACACAAAGCGAACTAACTGCTGAACTCTGTTCTAATCTCAAAATATGACATAATAGAAAAATTATACAAAAAGAACAAATATGACATATTTTTTCATTCGATTCAGTAACAATTTCCTAAATAATTTCCAGTAACAGAAATTTTTCTTCTCAAAATATTTTAATGCGATACATTAAATACATGCATGAGTCAGAATATCTACGGTATATTGCAAAACTCATGCTTTATGTGCTAAGAATGCAATGAATGTTCTAGCAAAGATGATTATTATAATTTATATTAATTTTAATGACTAATAAGTCAAATTAATAGGGATAAAATTTTTTAAATAAAAAAGAAGTTTCATAACTTTTTAAAGATAGCTATGACTTCCAATCAGAAGATACCAAATTTTTGCCCTTGTATTTAGCCCCACATCATTTACTTTTATATAAGATAAGTTTTTAATTTATTTGAATTTATCCTTAATATATAAATAATGGAACATTTTACAGTGCATTTTTTTATCCAAATAATTTGTTGATGGAAAATATTTGGCATAAAATTTATCTTACATGGTTGAAAGCATAACTTTTGATCATCTGATTTACAAAAAGCTACAATATGAAAGCCAACAGCAATAACAAAATGTCACAATTGATTTAAAGTACACATTGCTAAGTGTCTATGTAAAAAATACAATATCTAAAAAATAGATAAATAAAAAATCTGAAAAGTTTCATATTTTAAATTACATCCAAATGAGTGTTTTTTAACATTTTGTGTGTTACTTTCATTTATTAAATATTATGTTTTTCGCACTTAAACCATAAAATTCAGTCCAAGAGCAATATTGCAAAATAATTTTTAAATGAGCATATCTTTTGAATTTCCGATACAAAGTCTCGCATGCTGGAGATAAGTTTTTTTTTTTTTTTTTTTTTTTTTTTTTTTTTTTTTTTCTGTACAACCATTGCCATTGCTCGTTTTGAAATCCTCAAGTTAGTTAATCAAAAATTCGTTAAAGTTTTACAAAATATGAAATCAATAATAAAACAAATTTCAAATTTGGGCTTCCAGATTCCCATATTCGCAGGAGGATTACGTTATTCAAAATTGGATGGCTCTAGGTACCGTTATTTTATCACAGTGCACGAAACATACACACATTCATACAGATTCTGCATTATTTAATTTCTTTAAATATAATGCAGAGCGATAATATTTGTTGGCAACAATTTGAAAAGTGAAACAATGCTTAAAGAGAATCAATGCAAAATGAAATCAATAGTCCTTCTGGGCAAATTGGCCCTTTGGACTAAAAATCTATTTGTTAAATATAAAACTAATAAACTTACTGTTTTATTTACATTTTCTTGGTTATTGTCTTGAGCTGAAATAAACAAAAATAATTAAAGTACTATTTGAGTCATACAAATTTTCTAATTAAAGGAATACTATAATTGAAAAGTATTTGTAAGATTTAACATTTAAAGTAAAATAAGATGAATGACGCATACTCTGAGATCCAGGTAAAGCAGGAAAATCTTCACTATGTATCTGGAATTCGTTTGATTCGTTTGTAGGTTGCTTAACCATTCCAACTGAAAAGAAGACATAATTTTTACTTTAAGCTTAATTATCCTTAGATTTATATTTCTCTTTTAATGAAAATTTGATTTCATCAAATACAAAAAAAAAAAAAAAAAAAAAAATATTATCATTCTTCCACAAAAAATTATCATTATTAATTAAGGCATTAATTTATCAATAAAATAAGTCTACATATTTTTCCTTTGTGGCACTAATATCATATTACTACTATAATGCATTTTCTCCCACATAAATTTTTAGTGCCATTTTATAATTCGATGGCACCTAAAAATTCCAGATTAAAACAATAATGGTGATATAGTTATTCTTGATAAAATATTTCAGTTGTTTGTTACCATTCAGTATTACAGCCAACAAACCTTTCAATGATTAGTTGAGGGGGAAAAACTGAATCTTGATTACTGATGCAAATTTCAAATGACACCTCCCGAGAAAATAAAAAGCATTGGTAACAAAACTGGCAATACGAGTACCAGCAATTAAAAGCAAAGCACAGCATTTTATTTTTAAAATGTTAAATCTTAAAGGCTTAAAAGAGTGTTTCTCAAATTTAAGCTGATCCACATGTATATAGCATTGATTCATCAAGAGCTACATGCATGTAATTATGATTTATCATGATCCACATAAATAAGGTTATTCTGTAAAAAAGGCACTAAAAGAAGTAGATTCCTGGAAGGAAATAATATAATAATAATAAGTGATAATAAATAAATTATGTATATTTATCTGCAAATATGAAATTATGATTAACAATTCTTTTTTATAATTATATATATTCATTTACTAGTTATACATGTTTTTTAATAATTATACGTTGTAGGGTTCCAAACTTTTATCCAACAGCCAAGTGTGTAGGAACTTGGTAAACGCTTAAGAGAATAATCGCTTTAGTTCAGAAACAGATACATAAAACTCAAGAATGGTTAATTACCCTTTATTTCTCAAAATAAGAAATTAACAGATGGCTCCTTCAGAGCGTACAGCAAAGCCTACCCTTGGGCTTGAACTTAAGTAATAAGAAGTAAAACTTAACTAAAGATTAATTAAAAAGATATAGCTGAAGCTGTCAATCTTTCTAAGTAGTTTGCTCTTAAATATTAACTAAACTGGTGAAGCTATTAAGGGGCTTAGATATGGCCTAGCGTAGTAATAGCTTAGAGAGATTGTAACCAAAAGGCAAACGTGGGCTAATCAGAATCTCTGGCTCTCTAACGCAGTGGAACTTTGACTTAAATACCACTCTTACTCATTTGCATTAACCATGATTCTAAAAACACATTCTGGTAGGAAACTGTAAGCTGAAATTAGGAGGGACAGGAAAGTAGCTTTAACTAAAGAAAACTGTTAAAAATTTAGGATAAACCTTACAACATGTTTAAAATAATTACTGAATATAATATGGAAAAAATGGCAGCCACCCCCCATTTTATCTCTAAAAAGGCAACTGCAAGATATAAATTGTTTGACAAAACTGCAGTAACTGTTTTGTGATTTATAAAAATGCTAATGTAAAGTAAAACATGAGCATCAAATATGTAACATATAGTTAAATATTTTCTTTTACCTAGTTAAAACATATAACAGAAAATACTTCAAATAAAAAAAAAAAAAAAAAAGACCTGAGTGTTTAGATAAAGCCTTTTTAATAATCAACCAAGGCTAATATAAAACTGTAACCAAATATATGGAACAGAAACATGCCAAAGCAAAATACAAGATAAGGTAAAAAAATATATATAAAATCAACACCAATTATTTTTATTATTTTGGGGCAGCTTTTACAAACATATTTATCAAAAGATTTATTTATAAGATAAGCCCCAGTTATCTTTTGTCCATTATTAGCAAAGATAAATTCAACTATTCCATTAAATTTTGCAAATGAAAAAAAAAATTACATCTTTATATAAAATTAATTAGAAACAATTTTTAAAACATATAAATTAGCTATTTAGCATTAGATAGACATGCATATTTAATCAATTAGAAGCACATTGGCATAATTTTAAATAAATGATGCAGGGAATTAACTGAATGATACTTATTATCCCAATGGCCAAAAACAGAAAGATTTTCTTCTTTCATCAACCATGTTAATTTGTTTAAGAAGTTACTTTTCACTCCACATCACTAGAGTTTATCTTACTGTAACCATCTACGACTGATTTAGAAACGCATATAAATTGTGCTTATAAATTACAAAAAAAAAAGTTTTAAAATATGCTGATTCTTAGATCAAATGAAAGGACTACCATTAAAAAATTACAAAATAACCATTTTAAATAAGGACAGCAAATCTTGTGCTCTCTGGCCATAAAGTCCTTTCTGCAATGTACATTTTAAAATTGAAACACAAACTAATTATGCTTCTATGTACTTATTTTCCTGTATCCTTACAGAAGAATGAACTAGAAAATATGTTATATGCTGCAAAACAACTGAAGGTGAAGTCTCCATTGTTCCATACAAAAAGGTTATTCAGGCTGATCAATGAGCAAATTTATCCCAAATCAAGGTAAGATTTTTGAAGTGTTTTGCTAATTTTTTCTTTTCCATTTTTATACAAAAGGAAAAACAGAACTTATTATTTTGAGGGCATAAAAATGTACACATAACATGTAACTTGTGATTTATCCCTTGTAGAATACTTTTGAGTAGTTGAAGTCTTCTTATGAAACAATGTAAAATGTTTTGCTTTGGGATCCTCCTATAATTAAGATATGGCAGAAAAAACAAGACTGTTCATATTGCACACGAGCTGGCAACACTGCTGCTCTGCACATGGAAATTTGGGTACATCTCCAAGTTTCAAACAAGTTTCTGCTTTCTGTCATAAGCATATGCCTTTCAGTGTCTAAATGAGTCTTATTGCATAATGCTGCAAAAATATAACACATGAATTTTGAGAATGTTATGCAAGACTTTTTTGCATAAAGCTTGGAGAAAATATAACCGAAACTTTCCAAAATTGCAATGGGCATATGCAGAGCATACTTTATCGAAGACACAAGTTTTGTAAATGCCCAATTCATTTTCAGAGAGCCATAAAACTGTTGGATGGTGAGCAAATTTCTACAAAACAAAATCGACAGCTTCTATTTTGAAAGACCTTGCACATCTCAAACACATGAAAATAAGGTAATCTTGCACAGTCCAGCTACTCCATGGATTTTGCATAGAAAATGTAGGAATGTAGGAATTAGATCACAGAAGATGTATGTCAGACTGATTCCAAAAAACTTCAGATTTCAGCTTTTTTTTTTTTTTTTTTTTTTTTTTTTTTTATGTGTGTTTGTGATCCTTTGAAATACATTTTGTAACAGGATTTGTACAGAAAGTGAAGCCTGGATTTTCCAATATGATCCAAAAATAAAATGTCATAATAGCATTCCGAAATCAAATTAATGCTGATTTGTCTTCTCTAGAATCAGGGAATTATTCAAAGGAATCCATACTTCAAGGATAAACAGTGAATCAATGAATGTTTGGAAATGCTCCCATCCAAAAAATGTTCATGGGTGGTCAAGTATTTAAAGAACTTGAATGCTGCAGCATAATAATGTTCCTTGAATTTAAAAAAAAAAAAAAAAAAAAAAAAAAAAAAACCTCTTTGGTACTGAAATTTTTTTTCTTAAAAAGACACTTCAGTAGCTCTGGAGCAACCGTATTTTCTAAATTTCACTTCAAGCAACACTTTTCTTCTTTCCAATCTGAAAAATCACCATCTTGACACTGTGGGCAGCAGTCAGAAAGTTGTAATGGGTCAGTTCAAAGTCATTCAGTTTCAAGTATTCCAGCAATAGGAAAGCTGGAAGTCAAAGGCTATATTTCTTTCAAAGCAACCGTATTTTCTAAATCGCACTTCAAACCCAGTTATTGTCTAACCTTATTTTCCTGTGTTTGGGATGTGCAAGGTCTTTCAAAATATTCAAGCCATTTTAAAGGAGAAACCACTGATTTATAATGTATCATTCTTCAAGCCATTTTAAAGGAGAAACCACTGATTTATAATTTATCACTCTTCAAGCCATTTTAAAGGAGAAACCACTGATTTATAATTTATGAATTCATACTATGTTTTATAAAACCAGTCTTATTACTTCACTGCCACAGCTAGAACAAACAGTACACATATTTATGATAAATACCTCTAATTAGCATGCAACAAAAAAGATAGCAAAATAATGCTTTCACAGCCAGATTTAAGTCCTTCACAATTTAATGTCTGTAAGAATCTTTAAATCTCTAAGTACTTTTTAAAAATCCTGGAAACGATATGCAGAATTTGAAATTTTACCACTACACTACAAACATCTCTAATTCCTCTTTCACATACAGTAAGCCAAAAAAAGCCAGAACTAAAAATCAAACTATTGAGACAATCTCATTCATTTAATCTAACCTTAAAGCAATTTCTTTACACAACAGAAGGATTAAATTGTAAAAATAGGCTCACATATTTTTACAAAACAATGTTACCATATGGAGGTCTTCCTGCCATTGGATTGTGCGACATATTTGCATTGGAATTTTCTTGTGTACTTCGGTTTGTCAAGGATGGGAACTCTGATAAATCTAAAGCTGAAATAAGTTAAAATTAATTAATTTCAGAAATTTACATAGCATCAAATATAATAATAATGATGATAATAATAATAAACTGTCTTTTTATTATTATTACTTTCAACATATAACACATATTTTTGCTTTCTTTTGAAAAGCTTTAGCAATTTCCTTCTTCAAAAAATCATTTCTTAAATTACTCTCATGACCACATATATACCACAGGAAGGAAATTTTTTCTTATAAATTTAAATTTTATGAAAGCACATTCCACTTCTGATAACTTTCACATAGCGAATAACCTTCTATGTCTCCCCTTAACACAATTTTATTAAATTTTGAATTTAACTTTTCAAAAACTGCAGTTGAAAAGAGTTCTTTTTATAATAATTTAGCAAAGCAAATATTTTTAAATAAATTTTATCTGAAATAAGTAATTATAAAGGAAATTTGTATTTAAGTCAATCAAAAATCCAATTTTAATTTTGCATATTAAAACAACACCTGAAATAAATAAGAATCAGCAACATAATATTTAAGAGTAAATCATTATAGTAAAATGATAAGAACCTTGCTTGGAGTTAAAAATTTGGCCTTCTGTTACTTTCTTTGTTCAAGACAAGGAGGCATATGAAGTACATTTTTGTTCTTTCTAATGTCAATCAAATGCTACTAAACAAATCACAGATATAATTAAACTTGATATTTTAGAAATAGTTGAACTTGTGATGACTTTCCTCACTATTTTTTGGGCAATAATAAGTTAACACATCAAGAAAGAGACACAATATGTGACAGTGAATTTTCTGAAGGACATTGCTAAGCAATCAACATAGCCCCTTGAATTCAATTGATTATCAGAAATTAATTAATCTACCAACAGCAATCATCAATAATCAATCTAGGTTTAATAGTCCGGTACTGATACAAATCATAACATAAAGTTAAAATGAGATAAAATAGTCTACGCTTATATAGTGAAACCATGTTTAGAGCTTACATAGTGAACCATCTTCTCTGCCAGCTTTAAGTAAATACGTTGGTCAAACTTGCCACCTTTTACTGCTTTCTGTGAGTTGCTGTACTCAGAAGCGATAACCAGATGTATTATGAAAGGTAGAAGGGCAACAGCAGCCAGTAGAAAGCAAGAAAAGAAGACAAATTTGACTAACACATGCATTCCAGTCCCAGCTGACGAAGCAGATGGGTTGTTTATGAAAGCTATTTTTATATTTGTTTAAGCATGGTTTTAAGGTATGAACTAAAATATTTTATTTCACTTTAACTACATATGCCAATTTATTCTTCAATATATGATACTTAAACATCGAAAACTCCCTAAAACAGTTTGACTGAGCATTCATACTTGAGGTATTTGACCTAAGCAATAAATAGCATCCATAAACTTCTCACATATTCAACAAAGAAAAGTGAAAAATTTAGTAAGTAACACAGCATAATGATAAGTTTTATAAATGAAAGAAACAGTTACTTCACTTGTTCATAACAATGGTCATTATTCACTTATAAGATCTGAATGGATGGCAAGCATTCTGAAAGATGCAATATATTATATGCAAAGACTAGAAGAGAAACACGCTAATGTGACAATCAAAATCATAAAAACAACCTTGTATTTAGCGTAGGTATAATGAAACACTCAATCGATTTCGAGGGCAGCTAAAGGTCCCTCCTCATCAGGAGAAAGAAATACCTAGAAAGAAGAAAATAAAGGAGAAGGAGTCACAGAAACATGTGGTCCTTATCAGCACTGCACGGGGTTATACTAGATTTTTAATCAGAGTTGCACTGGCCGCCTACTTTTACTGAGCCAGGCTATCTGATCGAGCATGAAAAATTAGCGAAGTTAAAATAGGGAGCGAGGGGCAAATGCACCTTACGCTCAAAATCTGAACTTCAAATAATGGAAAGCAACCACTGAACAGATTTTCATACCCTCTGGTCCCAAACGCAAGGACGTAACGCCATCTATCGGCAAAAATAACTGAATTAAGATAGTAGAATTTTTAAAGGCATTAGGAAGGACTGGATTGGACTTCAAATCATTAACTAAACCTGCTAAATCTTTGTGAATGTGAAAAGCCTCAAGAAAATCCAATTCACCTATGGAAGAAGCCTTTTGGATAATTTTTGCAGATCCAAAATCAAAATTATGGTTAAAAGTCCAACTATGATACGCTATCGAAGACTTGTTAATTTCGCCTTTTCTGACATAAGATTCATGTTCCTTGATACGAAACTTCAACACTCTTTTCGTTTGGCCGATATATCTTAAACCACACTGACACGATATACTATAAATTTCCGAAGAATTCAGGACAGAAATGCAATCTTTTAGAGTCAAAGGGTGAATTTTATTAATAGGGGAGAAACCGACTTGAAAATTGAATTTCTGGAGAATCTGTGCAATTTTATAGCTAACAGAAGGATAAAATGGAAGCACGACAAGGTCATTAATATTATTTCTAACAGTGGAATGTCTTCTTTGATGGGAATCTGAAAATTTTTTAACGGCTTTATCAATAATCACAGGAGAAAATCCACGGTCAATCGCAACTGCTCTCAAATAATTAAGTTCATTGGTAAGCAAAGATTCAGAGGAACAAACTTTAAGTGCGCAGAATACATAATAGTAAAAAGAAGCCATTTTTTGCTTAACAGGGTGGCATGACTTCTTTTTACTATTATGTATTCCGCACGCTTAAAGTTTGTTCCTCTGAATCTTTGTTTACCAATGAACTTAATTATTTGAGAGCAGTTGCGATTGACCGTGGATTTTCTAACGCGATTACTGATAAAGCAGTTAAAAAATTTTCAGATTCCCATCAAAGAAGACATTCCACTGTTAGAAATAATATTAATAAGCTTGTCGTGCTTCCATTTTATGCTTCTGTTAGCTATAAAATTGCACGGATTCTCCAGAAATTCAATTTTCAAGTCGGTTTCTTCCCTATTAATAAAATTCACCCTTCAACTCTAAAAGATTGCATTTCTGTCCTGAATTCTTGGGGAATTTATAGTATATCGTGTCAGTGTGGTTTAAGATATATCGGCCAAACGAAAAGAGTGTTGAAGTTTCGTATCAAGGAACATGAATCTTATGTCAGAAAAGGCGAAATTAACAAGTCTTCGATAGCGTATCATAGTTGGACTTTTAACCATAATTTTGATTTTGGATCTTCAAAAATTATCCAAAAGGCTTCTTCCATAGGTGAATTGGATTTTCTTGAGGCTTTTCACATTCACAAAGATTTAGCAGGTTTAGTTAATGATTTGAAGTCCAATCCAGTCCTTCCTAATGCCTTTAAAATTCTACTATCTTAATTCAGTTATTTTTGCCGATAGATGGCGTTACGTCCTCCCGTTTGGTACTACCAGAGGGTATAAAAATCCGTTCAGTGGTTGCTTTCCATTATTTGAAGTTCAGATTTTGAGCGTAAGGTGCATTTGCCCCTCGCTCCCTATTTTAACTTCTCTAATTTTTCATGCTCGATCAGATAGCCTGGCTCAGTAAAAGTAGGCGGCCAGTGCAACTCTGATTAAAAATCTAGTTATAACCCCATGCAGTGCTGATAAGGACCACGTGTTTCTGTGACTCCTTCTCATTTATTTTCTTCTTTCTAGGTATTTCTTTCTCCTGATGAGGAGGGACCTTTAGCTGCCCTCGAAATCAATTGAGTGTTTCATTATACCTACGCTAAATACAAGGTTGTTTTTACAATTTTGATTATATGCATAGAACCAATTTAATAGTCCTTATGATCTTATTTTTCATTTTACTTTCCCCTTATAACTGGAATAAAGTTGCAATTAAAAGTCTTATAACTGCTTAAAAATAAAAACTGCCAAGGATTCAAATAGAAGATCTTAAATTTGAAATAAAATATATTTACAAATACTTTTCAGTATCTCCAAACAGCTATTAGTTTTTCAAACAACTTTTATGGGTACCTACAGAAAGCAGAATTAATGGCTGAAATAGAAAATAATGAGAAGATGTTATTGTTTGGATGCAAAATTCCCTTCTATAAATCATCTTTAGAGAGCATCTTTTCTATCTTTTCTTTGTTTCAAAGTGCCACTCTGCCTGAGACTCACTGGGCCTCTGTTTTATTTTAAATTTGCCCAATGTGATTTGTTTTGACATTATAAAATGTTTCTAAAGTAAGATATGGCATTACCATTAAAAATGCTTATACTGTAGCTTGCTGTTGCTTTGTCAGGGTGATATCATTACATGAAAACTTTGCACCTTATTTTGCATTAATTTTGCAAATCAGATAATTTTTGTTTCCATCCTTCCTTGCTGAAGACTTTCTTCAACAGTTTCCTTTTACTGTTGTTTCTGAATTTCTAGCTCTTTCCAAATGAACTCTTATCTATGATCCTCTAATATTGCCATATTTTCATTGATTTTACTTAAGACACAATATCACAGAAAAAAAGTTTTAAGTGTGAAATTGTTCAAAATCTCTGCCTGAAATCCAATATAGCCACAATTTCCTGCAGGCCCAATTCATGGTCTAGTACAAGGATGTCAAACTCGCAGCCCGCGGGCCGCATGCGGCCCACAACAAATATTTTTGCGGCCCGGCCAATATATCGGCAAATAATAATATATAATAATAAAATAACATATCGACGAAGAAAAAAATGAAATGTTTACTGCTAAGTAATTAACGATAATTTATTCAGTGTTGTTAGATTACTCACAGCGAGCTGACACACACACTACTTAAATTACAAATGCGTGTGAGTAGCTTGCGTTCAGCTACCTTCGGCTTTTGGGGGACACGTGCACTCAGAACTTGTACGCATCCCCCGATAGCCGAATGTGGCCAAACTCATGGTCTCAGTTTTCCAATCATAGTTTTGTACGATATATTGGTGCATGCATGTGCATGCACTTTGCTTTATTATTAATTATTACTTAATTCATATTGTTACGGATTTCATAGTTATTTATTTAGTTAGTTTTTTTTATTTAGAATTGTAATTAGATTTGCTTCATGTTGCCTTAGCAACGCAGACGATTTTTGAAAAGACAGCTGCGTTGGAAGGTTAAAAATAGAACAGCGCGTGCATTTAATACCTAATAAATAAATATCTCGTAATTGCTGTTGCCATCCACAAAAATCCAGATATTTATAGATGTTTCCAGTATATTCGAGAAATTAATTATAAAGCTTATAAAAGCCGAGAACAAACAACTCATCTCAGTAGTAGCTGTAGTTCTAGCGAACTGTTTGTTTACTTAATGCTGTGATTGATTTGTAGCGATTTCGCTGTGAGATAGAATTAGTTTCTCTGTTTTGAATTGATTTTTGCTAAACGTTTGACATTTTGTGATATTGTTAGAATATTTTTGAAGAAATATTTCAGCATTTTGATTTATCTCTTGTGGAAAGAATAAATTTTTGTTAACTTTTTAACGTTAACCGTGTTTATTCCAGCCCTTTGTATTCAGTATGTCTATATCAAAACCAAGTGGTAGTAAAATTAAACGAAAAATCGCTGACGAACATAGAATATTCCAAGTAAAATGGGAATTAGAATATTTTTGCTGTGAAATAAAAGATAAAATAATCTGCTTGATATGTAATAATACTATTAATGTACCAAAGTTATATAATATTAAACGTCATTACGAACAACACAAATCGAAATATAACAATTACGAAGGATTAATGAGAGAAGAAAAGTTGAAAGAGCTCAAGTTAGGAGTGAAAAAGCAACAGTCCATGTTTAGTAAAGTATTGCAAGAAAGTGAAGCGGCGGTACATGCAAGCTACGTCTTGTCCGAGTTGATAGCTAAACATTCGAAGCCTTTTACTGACGGTGATTTCATCAAGGAATGCCTAATGAAAGCTGGAGAAATTGTTTGTCCTGGAAATGTGAAGGCTTTTCAATCAATTTCATTGTCTCGAAATACAGTTGCGGAAAGAGTTACTGATTTAGCCGCGAATTTAAGTGATCAGATCAAAGCAAAATCATCTAGTTTCGAAAGTTTCTCCATTGCCTGTGACGAGAGCACGGACATTAGTGGCAAAGCTCAATTAGCAGTGTTTCTTCGTTCTTGTGACAAGAATTTTAACATTTTTGAGGAATTACTGGAACTAATACCGATGCCTGGTACTACCACAGGAGAAGATATATTTACTTGTGTTTTTGGACTTCTGCAGAAATACAATCTACCTTTGGCAAAATTAAATTCTGTAGCTACAGATGGCGCTCCATCAATGACCGGGAAAAAACAAGGGCTTCGTAGCATTACTAAGAAAAAAACTTAGTGAAATTCACGGTTCAAACATTCATCATATGCATTGTATTATACATCAAGAAGTTCTATGCACGAAAGTAATAAATATGGAGAATGTTTTGTCATATATAAAAAAAGTTATAAATTTTATAAGATCTCGAGGTTTAAATCAGCGTCAATTCACTGCTTTCTTAAGTGAGTTAGATAGTGAATATTCGGGTTTGTCCTACTATACCGAGGTACGTTGGTTATCTTGCTCCAAGATTCTCAAACAATTCTGGGATTTGAAAGAAGAAATATGTCAGTTTTTAAAAACGAAAAATCAAGACGTAAGTTTGTTTTACGATCCAATATGGATACAAGATTTATCTTTCTTGGTTGATATAACCAAACACTTAACCGATTTAAATTTATTGTTACAAGGAAAAGATCATATCATTACGAACATGTTTGACATAATTAAAGCATTCAAATGTCAACTAGTTCTTTGGGAAAAACAACTTAAAAATGAAGATTTGACGCACTTCCCGACGTGCAGCATGAACAAATCAAGTTTAGATGATACTTGTTTGTATCAAAAATATGCAGAAAAAATTGCAAATTTAACAACTGAATTTGAAACGAGGTTTAATGATTTTAGTTCCCTCGAAGACAAATTTTTTTGTTTTCTTCGATTTTCTCAATAAGTATTGACTCAGTACCCAGCCATATGCAAATGGAGGTGATCAAGACTCAATGCAACTCAAATTTGAAAGCAAAATTCATTGAAGTGGGCGTACCTGAATTTTACAAATATTTACCAGCCAGGTTTGAAAATACTCGAAAATTCGCATATGAAATTATTTCCATGTTTGGTAGCACTTATCAATGCGAGCAGTTATTTTCAGTCATGAAAGGTAATAAGTCTCCTATTAGAAACCGTATTAATGATGCTCACCTTGGGTCAGCGTTGAAAGTTATCACTGCAAACAAAATTTCTCCCGAAATAGGAAAGATAATAGCAGAGAAGAGATGTCAAGTATCAGGACGTAAACATTAAATTTTTCTTGTTCTTTTCTATATAAATATACATATATGTTTATTATTGTACTATTCGAAATAAATCTTTCTATGAATATTGATTTTTTTTTTCGGCCCGCCTAAAGTTAAACCTTGTTTGTTTGGCCCAAGTGTACCTATGAGTTTGACATCCCTGGTCTAGTAACTTGTTGGCAGGCTTTGTTAATGAGAGTTAATCAATGGAAAATATTACAGAGACGTTTTTAGAAGTTTCCAAGTGTTAATAATATATGGGATAAGTAAACTCAAAACACCTTTGAAAATCATATGTTGATAACCTGAGTGTTATAACTGCAGACACTATTCAACATTTTTGCACAGATAACTTGTTTATGAACCGAAATATTCATGAAGCGAGGCATTCGTGTTCTAAAGTTCCAGTGTATGATGATTTTAATGAGCCTAGCTAGTGTAATTTCATAGGCTTAGATAGTAATTAATTATAATAGAAACGAAGAACAGTGTTTACAGCTTTAAATTGCTTACTTCATTAGTCAATAACATATAGTGTAAATCTGAAAGTAAAATTGAATATATTAAACTTTCCCAAATGGCAACCCACTGACAGGTGGAAGACAAAAATAGTTTACTTTGGATAATGGCAACACATTTCTTTTAAATCCTCAGTTTGTTGATTAAATTCAGAAGATAAATATCTTACATTTGAGTGGCAACATATTTCTTTTAATTTGCTGATTTTTTTTACTCAATTTGAAATACCTACCCCTTGCCAAGTGGCAATACACTGTTTTTAAATCGTCAAGTTTGTTAATCAAAATTCCACCAAGTTTGCACAAAACATTAAAAAAAAAAAAAAAAAATCTGGTTTCAAGGTGTATGTGTTTTATATGGAGAACTGTGTATGTTCAAAATCTGGTGGCATTAGATTTCACCCTTTTTTCATAATGCAATGAACATACATACATACAAATTCTTCATTGATATAAAATTACCAGTTACAGGGATTTTTTAATGATAGCTTTGACTCTTACCTGGACTTGTAGAAAAATTATTTGGCTGCATGCTGTTATTCATTAAACCTTGAAGAGGGAAACCTCTACTGTTTTGAGAGAAACCTGTCCGACTTGCCATTGCAGCAATCGAACTTACACCCCTGAAAATAGAAATCAGTCTTTACTTTTTAAATAATACAAAAACACAGCTATAAAATGCAAAATACTATTAAATCTCTAATCATATTTTTTGTACTCTTTTTCTCTTGACAGATAAGGGGGAAATAATAATTGAGTATTTCCGCACGGAAAATATGTTAAATGTTGTATACATTAGATGAGAATATCTGATGTCATGAAGTGGAGAAAATTGTTACAGCAGGTTATGTATTTAAATATGGCAAAGCACCAGTGTCAACAAGTTGTGCAATTTTCTAGAAATTTGCTACCTGAGAAAACAGTGCTACTTAAATTTACATCAATGTTATTTTGCAAATTTTCTGCTACTCCATCCTTCCTCATGCTACTTTTTAATAAATTCCAAAATATATAAATGTTTAAATAATATATCTTTTCAAATAAATTTATAATAAAAAAAAAATTTTAATTACATTTAAATAAAAGTTGGCAGCAGGCAATTCTGTAGTTGCAACCAATGAACACCTGTGCATTAAGTTTTCAATACTAATCACAGGCATTTTCACGTGTTTCATTCACTGCTTTGTTTGATATTTTGTGAGGAGTACAATTTTAAAGTGAAAGTTATATCATAGCTGCTGTGTTAACTAAAATGTAAAAACATGAATAATGTGAAAACATTCAGTACATCTTTTCAAAATGTGCTTGGCTTGAAACAGACGTTTGAGAACTGACTTAAAAGAATGAAAACAGACATGAAAAACTTTACTGCATGCTATATATAATATGAACAGCGGGCACATAAAACTGACTTAATGAAGCTGTGCACTTCTTTAAAACATGAACAAAATTCTTAGCAAATCCTGCCTCAAAATTGTATAAAAAGTGCATTTGAAACTGTGAACAGCATAAATCAATCCATTGAAACTTCCTGTATTTGTGCAGATATAACATATGACTTGTAACAGATTGTTTCAATTTTGAAAATTCTGATTCATTAAATGAACTAGGTATCTTGGATAAAAAGTAATGACTGATTGGCCTAAAAAATTAATACAGATTGTCCGTAATAAATTATTTATATTATACGGAATATTTTAAAGGTGACCAACAAAAATGAAAACTTACATGATGAAATAAAATCAACAAATAAGCAATGCATGAAAAAATTAGAATAATAACTGATAAAAATTTTTATACATTTTAGCTTTATTACATATTAATGAAAAAAACAACAGTACAAGGATATAATCTTCATAAATAAACATACTTTTTTCAATTTTAATAGTGTACGGTAAGATGTAATATGGCACACAAAACTTTTCGAACTTCTGATTTACCTCAACAATTGACATACAGTGGTGGCCAAAATTGTGGACACTTTTGGAAATTTTTATGTTTTTGAACTTTGTATGCTTATAGAAAATGTTACGTTTCGCAAAATGCAAACTTGTATATATCATTTTAAAGCAAATTTATTACTGAATTCAATACAAAACACAAAATTCAATTATTTGCAATACAAAAAAAGTTAAACGATAATAGTTATCGATATACATTAGATAGTGATGATTGCAGTGAGTTATCAGTACTTAGTAGGGTACCCTTTATTTTTTATTACAGCTTCACATCGAGCTGACAAGAGTTTTAAGCTCTTCTTTCATTATTACATGATTCCAGGAAACAATTATAGCCTCAATTAGTTCCCTTTTATTTGATGGGCACTTCATTCCGACAAGAGTTTTCAAACAGTGCCACAAATTTTCGATAGGATTGAAGTCAGGACTGTTTCCTGGCCATGACAACAATTTAATGCTCTTTGTACGAAGCCACTCTTTCGATATTTTGGCCGTGTGGCAAGGAGCAGAATTTTACTGAAAAATAAACGAAGCATTGTTGGGAAAGAGATCTCTGATGGAAGGTAGAAGTTTTGGTTCTAGAATAGTGTCAATGTATTTTCGGCATTCAGTGTTCCATCGATAACATGAAGGCGACCAATACCATCTGCTGACATGCATGACCAAATCATAACACTAACTGGGTTCTTCACAGTTGCTTGAATGCAGTCAGGATGTAGCTCTTCTCCTATTCTACATCTTACATAATTTTGCCCATCACTACCGAATAATGATATCTTAGTTTCATCACTCCATATAACTTGTGACCACTGATCATCTGTCCAATTAATGTGTACCTTTGTTCACTGTAGTCTTTTTTCGTTGCTGAAAATTAAGATAAGGCTTTTTTCATGGAATTCTACCTCTCAGTCCAACATCTGTTAATCTTCTCCTGATTTTTCTTGAACTGACAGAAACACTAGCATCATTCAGTTCACTTCTGATGGCCGCTGATGACATTTTTCTACCTTGGACACATAGTCTTTTTATTCTTTTGTCATCAATAGATGTGGTGCACCTTTTTCGGCCTTTTCCTTCTTTGTTTTTTATTGAATTTGTCTGCTGATATCGCAAACAAAACTTTCGGACTCTAGATGTAGTCACTGAACCACCCACCTATCTTGCAATTTCAGCATAGGAAAGACCACTTTTTCGTAACACAATAATATTACATCTCTTTCTAGGTGTCAAATCTGCTCTTTTATTTGATGTCATTGCTTCTTGACTAAATATTAAAAATTTTTACAAAAATTCCTACTTGTAATTGCAGTGTATAAGAAACAGGTCCTCCTTCTACAGAACAAAGCAAAATAATGAATTGTTTCAAGTGTAAACATGATGTTAATTTCTACTGGCAGTTACTAACATTTGATTTTGTGTTTTGTATTGAATTCAGTAATAAATTCTCTTTAAGATGATATATACAAGTTTGCATTTTGCGAAACGTAACATTTTCTATAAGCATACAAAGTTCAAAAACCTAAAAATTTCCAAAAGTGTCCACAATTTTGGCCACCACCGTATAGCTTGAATAATACAAAATCACTATACAGTAAAGTTTTAATATTCTTGCCAGAGCCAAATGATTTGTTTTTATGTGAGACAGATAGCAACTCATTAAATTCCAATGCTTTCCTACTTTCTTTGTGACAAGCTTCAAATGGGAACAAACAAAAAAAGAAAAACTGGATCAAAGACCTCTAAAAATCAATTACAGCAGAAAATGGAATATTTATTCCAACGTTCTAATAATGCTTTTGTAGTTGCAAAAGTTAAAAAAAAATTATATTAAGATCAAAAGTATTTTTAGCAATAAAATATTTATGGAAACTTAAAAGAAAAAAAATCATCGTAAACTAATAACAAAAAATATTCTAAGTTATGACCAACAAATAAAATACAGCAATAATAAATGTTAAGCATTTGAAATTTTAAAAAGAGATTTTTAGTCTTAAATATAACTATACTAACTAGCAGGGTAATATATACATTTCTACACAATAAAAGAAAAACACAATAAAAATAAGCTTTTTCATATTGCTAAATAACATATTACTTCAAAATAATGCTTGGATATAATTATATTTAAAAGATTATGAAAAATGTACAATCAGATTACATTAATACCTCAAAGACAACTTTAAAAAGTTTTAAAAGCATTGAAAAATATATATGAATTTTTATTAAAAAGTCTACAATACAATTTCTTTGCTTTTCTTTTTAAATACACATAATACTGTTACTAAATCATGAGATTAAAAATCCCTACTGTTGACTAAAATTTAATTAAAATTTTACAATCTACTAAGCATAAGGTGTTAGAAACCTATTCTATTTATGACATTCATGGTATAAAATAGCACTTGTTGTAAAATATTAATAAAAAGTCCAAGTAAAGTGATTTTCTGAATGACTGATGCTTTATTAAACAATGCACTTATAAGATGTTGAAAACAATAACTATCTTATGCATCATTACTTTTCTAGAGCATCAATTTATCACAAAATAAAAACAATGAAAATATCAAATATATTTCCTTCAAGAATTTTAAAACATTCCATTTTTTCTTATTAAAAATATTTACTTCGCAAATGTAGCTTCCTAAACTTTTTAACATTATAATAAATTCCTTTTTCACATCTCCTGTAGTTTAAAATGTAACTGAAAATCACCAGATACTAAAACAATGTAATTTTCATATTTATTCAGAGTAATATATGAATGGTAATACAAGGTGTGTTCGAAACGTTCGGTGAATTTTACCATAAAGAAAAGGAAACAAGAGAAACAAGCAAAATAGCTTTACTGGCCTTCAAAGTATTTGCCATTAGCAACAATACACTTTTGACATCGGGTGTACAATTGTCGGAAACTGTCTGCAAACGCTTCTTTTGGTATGGCTCGAAGCACCGTTGTCACACGTTGTTGGATCTCAGTAATGTCGGAAAAGCGTTGGCTTTTCAGAACTCCTTTGAGGCAGGGAAAACAGGAAGAAGTCCCGCGGGAGCCAGATCTTGGAGAATATGGAGAGGTGATCCAAAACTGGAACCTGGTGCCTGTCGAGGAATTGGGTTACACGGATAGCAGTGTGTGGCCGGGCGTTGTCATGGAGCAGATTCCACTGTCCATTCCGGTTACTGTGGCCGAATCCGGCGTATGCGTAGCAGCAGCCGTTTCAAAACCCCCTCGTAGTATTCCGCATTGACGGTTGTAGCCGCAGGGTACAAATTCACGATGGATCAAACCCTTACTGTTGAAAAAGACAATCAACAACATCTTGATCCTGGATTGTGTCAAACGACTTTTTTTGGGAGGGGGTGATGACGTTGAACACCATGCTGTGGATTGCTGCTTGGTTTCCGGATTGTATTGAATAGCACCACGACTCTATCCCCTGTAATTATTGTTTTCCAAGAATTGCGGATTCTGGTCACACATGTCGATAAAATCTCCAGAGGTTTCCATCCGGTATTGCTTTTGCTCGTCTGACAGCAGTGCGGTACAAACCGGGCCCATATCTTACGTTTATGCAAATGTTTGTGCACAATGGTGCTCACACTGTTTAGGCTTATCTGCAATTCGCCAGCTATCATTCTTTAAAGATAGTCGTCGATCTGCCGCAAGCATCCGTCAAACTCGTTCCACATTGTCTGGAGTTGTGCTTGTCGTAGGGCGTCCCCGACCGCGGCTTCATCTTTGACATCCTCCTTTCCATCTGTAAAGCGTTTAAAACCACTCATAAACACACTTTTTTACTCACTGCTGTCTGACCGTAAACTTTCACTAAGATGTCATGTGTCTCCGTCGCCGTTTTGCCCTAACTTGAAGCAAAACTTTATGTTTATGCGTTGCTCCATGTCACACTGACAATCTTTCTCACACTGACTGTGTTAAACTGCTCATAGCGTGCGCTTCCTCTTATCTGTCGTAAAATGGCCATTAGATGGCTCTAGATGACATTTCTCTCACTGCGTCTGCGTGAGTGCAAGATCCTAACCAGCGTGGTTTTTTAATTATGAAACCAATCACCGAACTTTTCGAACACACTTTGTATATAGATTCTTCAAATATACTTCCTCAAATATAATGGCAGTGAAATAGCAGTAGATTGATTTTTTTTTAATTCAGTATTTAAACAATAATTTATTAAAAGAACAAATTTATATACATACACATTAAACATAGAACTTCTTTCTCTTTTGTTAAAACTATCATCAGAGGTAGGAATGTTTCTGAAACAAGAAAAAGCATGTATTAAGTATTTTCTTTAGATTATAATTAATAATTCAAAAATTTTTACAGAAGTCTTAAAACCTATTTATAAATAAATTTCTGTATTAATAATGTAATCAAAAAATGTTTCAAGCATATATATAGAAAGAAAAACAGTATTTAAATTTGGCAAAAATAAAGAAATATGACCAATTTGCTATATTTTACAGAATATCAGTATATATACATAAAAGCAGTAATAATTTCATGTTTATATCTAACTGGGGGGAACCCATAAATTACAAAATAATCAAAAAATTGTTAATAAGAAAAATGTGAAAATCACTAAAATAACAGAATGGATTAGTCAAGTGCATTCATTATTCAAGCATATTAGTTATTTACCAAATAACTGAATCTGTTAAATTGTGGATGACTTTTTTTTAATACAGTATATTAGGACACATAATCAATAAATGAATGCATGCTGTTATAATCAGTACTTCAAATACCTATTGATTTTCAATTTAAAAATTGCTTACTGTGTTTTCCCGTCCCTCAACTTAGTTTAATGCCTGGAAACAAACCCTGCACAGCCTTTGAACATTTACTAAAATTTTTTGCTTCTGGAGTTTAGTACTGTTACTGCATTAGAACTGTTTTTGCATAAGCTCAGCACTTAAATCAATAATATATGATTCAATGAAAGATATAAAAGCTTTTAATAATTTACATTTTAAATAATGGGCAAAGAATACATATTGTATTATTCATTGCCACCATAAATGAAAATCAAATGCAACTATTAAATCTGATACTGAAACTTCAAACACTCATTTGGCATTCAACACCCGGTGAATAGGATGAAGTTTTTAAATGAGTTTCATAGCTACACAGTGTTCACATTGAATAATAAATATTCCAACTTGTTAAAATAATCCTTAATTCTTGAATTTTTCTAAGATCTAGCATTAAAGATAAATATTCTGCTGAAATTCTCTTCTCTTTTTGAAAAATCTAAAAATCTGCAATATTAGCTTTAAAAAAGCTCTTTTATTATGGGGGGAAAAATCAATGTAATTAACATTATGAGAACCTTTAATCAAAAACTGATATAAAATTTAAACTGAAATTCGAAGAATTAGTTGCTGAAAGCTAAATAAAATTTTACAAACTGCCACAAGAAAAAATTATTATAGTGTCCAGGCACATTAATGTATATAATAAAATGGGCAGCACAGAGCTTTAGACTTGAAAATACCATACAACTGGAAGACAAAAAAATAAAGAAATATTCTAAATAAAGAAGTCATGCAGAAATATGTAACATGAAAGGAATTATATATTAATAGCAAGAAGCAGCTAAGAGAATAAGAGCTTTTAAAATTATTTTCAAATGTATTAAAACAAGTGATGAGTGGAGGTAATTATACTGTCAAATGAAGAAATTCCTAATGAAAAGCCTCGATTAATTATAATGAATAACTTGAATCCTAAATAAGTATTTATACTTTTTATGCATAATACATATTTTACATGAGAAAGAAAAATTTTATATAGTTTTATAAAAACGATAATATATGAATCTTGGCAAGAAATGTACTAGACCAGGGGTCGGCAACCTGCGGCTCTTTGGATGTGAAGCTGCAACTCTTTAGTTCCATACTCAAATATTATTTATTTCATCCAAAAACAAACAACAAAAAAAAAAAAGAGAAGAACTGAAGAAGAGCATCGAGAATTCCATCGGGATTGGACGCAGTCGTTCGCTTTCATATGCAATTTCATATGCCTTGCGACTTATCTCATTGGCCTCGAAAAACTCACACACAATAAGAATTCAAATTTAGAGACACTTCACTAAAAACATACTCAGTTGCTATTAAATATCCAGCCAGCAATGAAAGCAAAAAGCTGTCAACGAGATCCAAAAATAAAAACAGCAATCAAGTTCCATGTTAAGTAACTGGACACAATCTACAAGTAATGTTATACAATCTACAAGTAATGGCAAGCTTTGTGGTATCATTAGAAATTGAAAAAAAAGGCAAACCATTCACAGATGGTGAGTATGTCAAAGATTGCTTCATATGTGCATCTGAAGAATTGTTTTGTGATTTCAAAAACAAACCAGAAATCTTGAAAAAAATCAAAGATTTGCCACTATCCGCTAAAACAGTACAAAATAGAAAAGCTAAAATATCTTCAAATGTAACATATTTGCAGGTGGAAGATATTCAGCTTTCTTCTGCTTTATCACTTGCTATAGATGAGTCTTGTGACATAAAAGACACGGCACAAGTTGCCCTTTTTGTCAGGGTACGTGTCTTCCCGAGATCCAAAAGAAGAACTTATAGGATTGATACCGCTCTTGGTACAAAATAGAGGAGAAGATATAGCGAATGCTGTGCAAAAATGCCTTGAAGACAATAAGATTGATTTAAATAAAATTGCTTCAATAGCAACTGATGGAGCCAGAAGTATGACAGGAAAAAATAAGGGGCAACAATGATTTTTCAGAGCAAAATAAACCACGAAATTCGGCTAATCTTTGGAATATGGTAACAGGTAGTTTGGTGACATTTTGGTAAGGCGATAAAGGTTACTAGCTAGGACTTTAGCAGTGTACATGGATTAAGTCAAGAGTGTGCGCAATGCCATTTTTGTGCAATTCTGGGATTTTTTTTTTAATGAAAATAGGTTGACGTGTACATGGATGATACCGTGTATGTGCAATTCTTGAAAACGTGGCAAGCAGTTTGCAATTCTACACTTTCTCCCAATTTTGCACCTAATCTTCATCATGATAAAAGTTCTAGCATAAGCGTAATTCGGCTAGCAGATTGTTGGAAAAAAATGTTGAGGTAAAAAAAAAAAAAAAAAAAAAAAAAAAAAACAAGACTTTATTTCATGAAAACAAATTGGTGTCCAAAACAAAACTAGCAGGTTGCTGTAGCAGGGTTGGTCGCCAAATTTTCGCCAAAAAATCGCCAAGTTACCATAATCCAAAGATTAACCCGAAATTCTTACGTTTCACTGCATAATACACCAAGAAGCGCTTTGTGCACAAACATTTCCGACCAAAATAGTTGAGGTTATGAATTTGGTAATCAAGATTGTTATCAGCATCTTGTCAAAAGCACTGTACCGTCGTCAGTTTAAAGAATTCTTAAACGAAATGGAGACTCGGTATTCCGACCTCCTTCTTCACAATAAAGTGTGATGGCTTTCCAAATAAAAGGTGTTGAAACGTTCTGCTTTGTACTTGAATGAAATACATTCCTAAATGAAAAAGGCATTAATCACCCAAAAATTTTACTTTATGGTGGATGTCACAGAGAAATTAAATCAGCTGAATCCAAAACTGCAAGGAAAGGGAAACCCAGCCTATGTTTTAGAAGAAGAAGTGGTTTGTTTTGAAGAAAAATTAATTCTTTTTGCAGAAGATATTCAGAGCGGTAAATTACTTCATTTTCAATTTCTAATGCAATATCGCAATAAAACCATTGCAACTGTTGACACAAATTACTTCAGCACAGTTACAAAAAAATTAAAGATGAATTTGCTGACAGATTTGAGTAATTCAAAACCACTCTAGCATTCATAGTAAACCCTCTCAACACAAATCATAACGAAATCCACACTGAGCAATTTGGAATTGATACTGAATCTCTAGAAATGCAACTGATTGATTTAAAAAGTAAAGCTTTGTGGAGTGGAAAAAACAAATTTATAGAATTTACAGAGTTGTAAAGCAAGTCGGAAGAGTAGGAGGTCCAAAAATGAATGTACATAATGCAACAAAAGTCGACAGCTTTAAAAGAAATGTCACGAGTTGAGGCACTTATATTCGACGCATGGAATAGTCTTCCAGATTGCTACAGTGAGGTGAAGAAGTTGGCAATTTGGAGTGCAGACTATCTTCGGATCGACATATTTGTGCGAGCAAGCATTCTTTTGCATGAATATAATTAAAAGTGCAGTAAGAAGCCAGCTAACAAATAAAAATTTAGAGTCGTGCTTGAAACTTAAAACAATCAAATATGAGCAAAATTTATCCAAACCTTCTAAAATCATGCAAAGCCAAGGCTCCCATTGAATTTGTTTGCTCAAATGTACGTTATTGTATGCAAAGCCATCGCTCCCATTGAATTTGTTTGCTCAAATGTACATTACGTATGCAAAGCCATAGCTCCCATTGAATTTGTTTGCTCAATTGTTTTTTTATTGAAGTACAAGTTAGTGCTGTAAGTAAATGTTTAATTGTTTTAATTTTTTCCTTAAATAATAAGTAATTATCTAATAATGCCATATATATATTATCTAATTTGTTGTGAAAAATACTATTTATGTATATATGAATGAATAGATATTTTTTTCTTATGAATAAATAGATTAGTTTTTCTTTATCAAAAAACTTTATTTATGCGAGTACTATTTATTGTTGGCAAGAAAAAATTTAGTGGCTCTTTAAAAACTTTTAAAATTTTGTAAATTGTAATTTTTTGACTTTTCCGACTCAAAAGGTTGCCGACCCCTGTACTAGACTCTTACCTTGAAAGAATGTTCATTTTTATTTAGAGAGTAAAATTTTAATTTAATCTCAAAATCATAAATGAGAACTGGTTTGTAATAAGAAGGGATTTCAACCTTCTCAGTGGATTTAGCCTCAAACCCCTGAGTAATGATTTATAATTCCAAAAGGACTCTCCTACTTTTTACCTTGACATTTGTTTCTTTCCAATATAGAGACTAGTTGAATTGTCTGGACACATAACAAGATGCATACTTAAATGATATAACAAATATTTCTGAATGTGTATATATGGCTACGCTACATGGAGGGTTAAAATCATATCATTAAAAAACAGGAAAAGATCTACCTATGCATTCACATAAAATTATTCTGACTTTTATATAAAACTAAAAAAGTACACTTACCCGCCTAAAGGCCCACCAAGTCCAACTATCCTCTTCATATCCTGACTCAATGACCTTTGAGTTGGGAGTGGTCGAGAATTCATTAACATGCTTCGACTACAACAAAAATAGTAAAGAATATTTTTATATGAAAAAAATATTGTCTGAGTTTATCTCACCAGAAATTCAGAAAAGGGTATTTAAAAAATAAAAAGAGTTTAAAAAAATAACTTCAAAACTTTATTTATTTAGAAATATTTCCTTGCATACATTACATGTATCGCAAGTAAAAAAATAACTTCAAAACTTTATTTATTTAGAAATACTTGCTTGCATACATTACATGTATCGCAAGTATCTACATAATAATAAATACAGTACAAAGTCAGTAATCCAGACTGGTCAGGACTTCGGCGATTCTGGATTAGGGTTTTTCCCGGATTATAGATCATCAATTTAAATGTGGTAAGATGGCACGCAGAAATTATACAATTAAAAATATGAAACCGTAATTTATGAAATAAATAGCAATTATGATCTAAGGGGTATCGAAATTTACAAAAAAAAAAAGCTTAATATTTATTTGTTTACTTTATTAAACATTTCTTTCAATGTAAGTTGTTTAAGTTGCTTTGTTTTTTGTGCTAATTCTTTCTCTTTAATTATATAAACAGACATAATTTCTTGTTCAGTTACAAAGTTCCACTGTTCAAGTCCTGTAATTGCTGTGTTGAGAATACCGACTAACTTGTCAAATGAAATTTTTTCACCTGGACTCTGTCACTTTCTTCACTATTGGAAGCAGTATTTTCTGGATCTAGAACCATACTACAGATTTCGCAGGCCATTGATTGATGAATGGGGCATTGGCGTCGCAATGAAAAATTTCTGCTATATCATCTTCATTTATTACTGCTTCTCCACATTTCTTTACAAAATCCAATAACTGGAAAATGCACTTTTTGCTTGATGAATATAGAAACATGCTTTCGCTTTGTGCATCCTTTGGCAGCTCCATAATTGGAAACTCTTTTTGACATAATCAAAAGTTCAAGCTTAATTTTTATAAAATTGCTCTAACAGTCTGCAAAAAATAATAAGCTTGATCCAATTAAAAGATTAAGGAACAGCGCAATCTGCAACATTAACTGAAATGCCTTAGAATCAGTAAAGATAATTTTAGCCTAACTTATACCGTCCATTATACACTAAACGGGCATGCATAAAGCATACAAAAAAAATTTTGTGGCCTTGAGGTCTGGATTATAGATCATTCCAGATAGAGGATGTCCAGATTACAGACTTTGTACTGTATATATATGTGGGTACACAATTACTTAACACAAAAAGTATCTAATGAGTATTTACTACATAATTACTTAATACAAAAGTATCTAATGAGTATTTACATGTTACACTGTATCTAGAAATGCTGCTTTTATGTTAACGATTGCATACTGTATAGCAAAAAGAACTTTCAAGAATCTTTTGTATTTTTCTCCCTCAAAAATCTATAATGTACATTTGTTTATTCAATCATTTGAAAAAAAAAAAAAAAAAATGTTAAAAATCTGGAACTCGTCTTGAACAAAAGAAGATGCAAAGTGTCAGTGTTTGGGAATCCAATATCAGATGAATATGATCGTTAGGCTGCCTCACACGGGTTTCAGTATCTGTTAGATGCAAAGTGTAAAATGTACCCTCCTTCCAGATTTCCTTTGTGATTTAATGGTAGCCCACTCAGTGCATATCGAGAAGTCCAAGTTTGAGTCCTGGCTATGCAGAAATGGCCACAATATGATGTTATATCTGAAATTGGATAAACACTGGCAAATGGCAATAATACCAATATGATTAAATTACATTTGTCATAAGTTTTTTTTTCTTATGAAGTCATATGTATTTAAAACTTTTCCATATGTTTAAGAATAAGTTCTATCATATAAAAAAATTCATATAATTGCTATCTTAATTGCCATTAGGAATTTTTTAGTTAGCATCAAAATCTGATTGTTAGTCAGTACTAACAACATTGTAATACATAAATACCCTTTCATATTCACATTGACTCCTTTAACTGCAAAATCAAATAACGATTAAACAATCTTAAATTTGATGAAATTTGTTCTAGTATAATTGGGTAGTTTTATATTTCTTATATTATTTAAAGATTATTGTTTTAGTCTGATTTGTTTTTCGACACATCATCTATTAAAGCAAATAATCAAAATGAGCAAATATTTGAAGTTTTTTTTTTTTTTTTTTCCCCAGCAAAGTTCTTATCTTTAAAGTAAAGGATTTCAAGTTTCTCAGCACCTTCCTTTAAAGTGTTTCCATCTCATAATAAAATTCATCTGATAATTTCAAAATTTCAAAACAATGCAAGACGCCCACACTACGTTAGTTTATTTGATAGCAGCAAATCATACTATGGCTACCGTCTATGGAAAGAGATATTTTCCAAAAAGGTTTTCTAAGATTATAAGATATTTTCTCCCTGCTTTCTGCATGCCTTTGTGGTGTAATGCTAGCACACTCAGTGCACATTTGAGAGGTCCAGGTTCGAGTCCCAGTGAAGGCATTGCTCATTTTTCATGTTTCCTGCTTCAAAATAACCTAATGACTCTACAAGATAAGATGCAGCATTTATATTACACAGAAATGAAAATCTATGCAGCCACCAGCTCAACCACTGAAAAGAGGAACTCACCCAATCCTAAGCAATAGAAAATGTGGATTAAATGAGGATGACAGCTTTCATAACTCAAAATCAATTATATTTAAATTTTATGCTTAGTTGTTCATATTTTTCTATAATGCATTAACATTATGCTCTCACTCTGTTACACATTCCAACTACTTTCCCTTAAGATTCACAGTTTGCTTAGCTAATTAAAAACTTTATTACCTGAAGAATGAGAATTAAAGAAAAAATTTAAATTAAAATGTACTCTTCTTCTATCTAAACAATGTTTTATAAACACAACATTAAATTCACATGCAGCCAACATACTACTTTAAAGAAAAAATACTGGCTTAACATTAGCATGATCAAATTACAAAATAAGCAATAACATGATCAAATTGTAAAGCATTATTTAAAAATCTACTAAACACTACTTCATATAAGAAAAGGAAATTCATGCTTGAATATGATACAAGACCTTTCAAAGTAATGTCAAGACTGTAGCAAATATCATTCTAAAAATTATGATCCGACACATTCTCAAAGAAATACACTGTTAAGAACAAAAGCTTTAGTACCTATTTGGAGAAGGCTGTTGGGGAGGCATATTATTAGGAAGACATGGTGAAAAATTTGGCATTCCAGAACTTGTTGGTGTGACATGACCTTGAACACCATTTCCTCCACTTCTGGAAGGAAACTGCTGACCACTTAAACTTCTTGGAGTCTGTTGAAGACTGGGTGCACCCATTCCTTTAAAAAAAAAAAAAAAAAATTAAGTGCTGACTAAAATTTTTCAAATGGGGGGGGGGGGGGGGATCATAAAAATTTAAAAGCTGAAATAAATGAAAACTGATGATCATAGTTTCATCATAGATAGATTTCATCAACATAAAGTAGATACTTTATCTTATATTGATAAAGTATCTACTTTATGTTGATGAAATTGTACTCCTGTAGAATTTAGAAAAACAATTTAAGTAAATGTAGATAAACTACTCCTAGTTAAAAATATTCAATAACCTAATTTAATTGAAAGTTCAGAAACAATTAATGATTTTAATGGGAGGAAAGATGATTTTAAACTTGAACTAAAGTCAGTAACAACCACAGAAATAAAAGAACTTCCGTGTCAGCAAGAACACACAACAATGTTGGTTTTTGTAGGCATATTCTATAATTATTCCAGTAAGAAGTAAAGAACCAGTTAAAAAATACAGCAAATAAAATAATCTTAAGCTTTGTTGATATTAGGTCATCTCCATGGCCATTCTCCTGTAATAACTAATTTGTATAATAATCATGTTGTTTACCATGTTAAATGGCATCCACATTTTGAAGCATGCTAATCTCGATAGCTTCATAACATTTAAGGCACATTACCTAAAATTTAATTTTGAACAAGCTATATGAAATACTAAGAATGAGAATTCAGTTTTATTACTTATGTTTAGGAACATAAAAATTGTAGCTAAGAAAACCAATGAATTTTTAGAGTAAATGATATCAAAGATAACAAGACAGGAAGGAAATTAAGAAGAGGACAGGGCACCAGAATTCAACAAATTATCTCACACATATAGTCCCATTATACTAATTGTAAAGTTCTGTCACACTTTTAATGAAGCACACTCTGGGATTGAAACCAATGGCCTTCCAGCCCTCTTTCCCTACCATTAAGTCACTCGAGAGGACTTTTAGCTCACCAGCATTTTAAATGTCCCTATATTGCACAGATACTCTGCATTTATACAGACAGATCCAGAATATGAACCAGTACTCCATGAGGAAAGAAGGTTTTTATTAATATACTTCTGATTTTGCTGGATTTAAACAATAATCAACAGCAATCATTAATGAAACTGCTGCCATTGAAAATTGTTAATGAAGCTTAGTGAATGTGGAGGAATTACTGAACTCGCATTATAAAGAAATAAACAATAGCCATCTGTGTAACACTGATCAACAAACAGCATATGAATGTTATAATAATAAATTAATGAAGGTTGAAGTCCTGCCAAATATAAAATGAATTTGGATCAATTCCAGAAAATATTTTGCATTGCTGCAGAGTTGAAGCAACAACTTAGTTAATACTAAATCAGAAGATTAAATAGCCAAATAAAATAAAATTTCAATATAAACATCTTGAAAGAATCAGACAGATATGCAGAATGATTCATAATAGAAAGATATAATGAAAAAAGATAAATATTCAAATCACATTAAAAAAATGTTTTACAAAAAAATTTTTGCTTAGGCAATAAAAGTTTGATGCTTATCATTATCTCAGGTCTATATTTCTCGGGAATAATTTTTGAGGTGTCACGACTTCTTATGGTGATGCATATCAAGTGACATTTTGACATCTTCAGTGACATTCTGGCAATTCTTATTTGTTTTTACTTCCATGTACTACTTCATCGTACCATGTTATTTTTTTCATGTATTGACATTCTTGCAGCCCTTATTTGTTTTTACTTCCAAGTAAAAGAAGTATTTTTTTGCATGATGCCTTGTGACAATATGCACACCTCTGATAAACATTTCTTAATAAGAACAACTTCCTGTTTTGTCCAGAAACTAATTGTCAGTTAGAACTTTGAGGAAATGTGTTGCGGAAATCCCCTGGTGCGGTTTCCGGACACAAAGGACGTAGTAAATTATCTCATCCTAAGGCATTTCCGAAAAGACGCGGAAAGAAAAGCGAGGGGCTTTTGTGCGAGTTTTTTTTATGCAGTGAAAGACTTGAAAGAAGACACAACCAGTGTCGCAGCCGCATCCAGCGGCCATTGTTTAGTATTATGGCTGTAATGTTTTGATTATTTGACCTACTAGTATTCGAGAAATTCTTATTAAGTTTTAAAATAAATATTTAAAAGACAACTGCTCTTCTCTTTCCATCCAACACAGGTGTTCAGACGTTACAGCCTATATGTATGGACAGAATAAAGGATTCTTTATTCCAAAATAGATTGTAAAATGGATTTTTTTTTTTTTTTTTTTTTTTTTTTTTTTTTTTTTTTTCCCATGATGTCTGTATATACGCATCTTGCATAACTCAAAAATGATTAGCTATAGAACACTGAAATTTTGTATATGGGACTGCTACATGTATTTGTATACCTCTCTTTTACATTGCTACTCCCCCTTTAACAAAGTCATTTCTTGGTTTTTACTTTCCCAACATTTGTTATACACATGTACATCCAATTATAGAAGGATTTTAAATGACAAAAATATTAATAATAAAATCTAACTTTTAATGCAGATTTCTGGTTTTTATATTTATATTTGGGAAAGTTTCATACTCTTTATTAAAAAATAAAAATACAAGAAGTTTGACTTCCACATGACAAAAATTGATCGGGATATTTAATTTCAAAATTTGCAAATTTTTATGTCAGTTTTCAACTTGCCTTGAAAGATCAGTTAATTAAGCTATAATTAGAGGAAATAAGTTTAAATAAAGTGCAGCATGAAGTGTTTATAATACACTCATGTCCAAAATTATGTTTACATGCATAAATTCACGGATTTCTCAGAGACTATGACTTATAATTTAATGAATTTTCGTGGAATCATACATAACATGATGACACATAAATGCAAAAGAAAAATTGAAGATCACCTCATATGATATAAAATTGTAGCATGAAACAATAAAAATGGTAATAAAGTGTGACAAAGAGAGTTAAGAAAAAAAGGAATGATTCAGAAAAAGAATTAAGTCTTACGAATTTAATATGGAATATGATCTCCCCTGACTTGTACACACATATCACAACGTGCTTTAAGGCTGGAAATAACGTTGTTGACCACAGTTTGGGGAATTAATCTCCACTCTTCCAGCAATGCCGTCTTCAGAGCATTTACATCTCTAGGAGGAGGATGTATACGTGCAATTGCTCTTCCAATGTAGTCCCATAAGTTCTCTATCGGGTTACGGTTAGGAGAGTTTGGTGGCCAAGGTATTCGCTTAATGTCTTCACTTTCAAGGAATTCATCAACGAGGTTTGCTCGATGTGGACGGGCATTATCATCCATAAATAAAAAGTCAGGTCCATATGCACCCTTGAAAAGTCTTACATAAGGATCTAAGACCTCATCTCGATATATCTGGCCTGTCACAGATCCGCTGCTGAACACGTGTAGGGCGTACGTCGATCGATCATTATTCCATCCCATACCATCACACCTCCACTACCGAAACGGTCACGTTCCACAATGTTCGAGGGATCATTTCGTGTTCCTGATTCCCTCCAGATGTAAACACGTTTAGAATCACCAGTTAAAATAAACCGCTACTCATCAGTAAAGAGAACATGGGACCATTGATGTTCAGTCCAGTTTTGATGTTCTTTACACCAATTAAAGCGATCCCTCTTTTTCTGTGAAGACAGTAAAACACATACCCTTGGCTTTCTGGCATAAAGGCCTTTTTCATTAAGCCTTCTGTATATTGTTTGCCGTGATGCAACAGTTCCAGTGGCGACTGCAAGCTCTGAACTTAACTGGCGAGCAGTAGCCTTTCTGTTACGACGGGCAATTAATGCCAGGTACTGATCTTCAGAAGCAGTTGTCATTCGTTTCCGACCTTGTCCAGACCTCCTTACAACACTTCCATCATTTTAAAATTGTTTCCATAGCTTAGAGACTGTATGTCTTGAAATATTCAGACATGTGGCTGTTTCCATGATTGACTGTCCTGCTTCTAAACGGCCGATAATTCGCCACTTTACAGATTCTTCCAAATGGTACTTCGAAGCCATAACAAACCGCTTTGAGTCCCTACACGCTGGAATCAAACGCCATATTGCAGAAATTCATTCAAATATTCAGTTTGCGCAAAGCGCTTGATTCACCCTTGGATGACGTAACGCCTAGATTTGCATATCACAAACAGTTTGATCACTTTTGATTGGATAATGTTAAATTAGGCTTGGTTTTCACACATTTCCTGCAAATACGGATCACATTGATTCGATATTTTATTGAAGATCATCATTTTTGGGTATGTAAAGATAATTTTGGACATGAGTGTATAATTGGCATATGAGGAAATCAAGTGATGTTCACATCAGATCTTTTTTATATCTAGTTTTTGTGTGTGTGTGTGTGTGTGCGTGCAAAAGGGAAACCCACAGCAACAATCATTTTGTACTTTTTTTTTCTTATCATTTGATATATGAATTTCACTCATCACTTTTTCTTTTCTTTAGTACCTAATGATTAGAAGAATGTATCACTTATTTACCACAGATGGAGCTAGGAACTACAGCTAAACAGTTACCAAAACAAATTTACCAAAATGTCACTGAAGATGTTTTGCACAGAACTATTTCCACAAAAAACATTGTAAAGAGAAGACTCATATCCATATTACAAAAAAGGAAAAATTATTTAAATCATACTTTTTTACAGTCAGTAACTCATTTAGCCACTGAGATACAAACTAAACTGAGCTAAGGATGAGTTACCATAGTTAACGGCAACATTGTCCAGTCACTGGACAATGAATGGCAAGCTATCAATTTCCCATAGCTATAACTAATCAGCTATTAATGGGTAGAGTTATGACATGATTTGAGTGATACATACAACACAATGTTTTATATCCAAAAACCATACATTATCAAAGCACCATACCAAATATCAAAAACTGTAGTTCAATATTTTTTGGAATATCCATAATATTAAAAAAAAAAATCTACCTTGTACATTGAAAGAATTTACTCAGGCAAAAAATTAATAAGCAAATTCACTTTAACAGCATTCGAAAGCACCTCTATCGAAAAAAAAAATGTATTCTATAGCATTTATTTATTATGCTTTCAGAACTATAAAAAAAATTGTGTATTAATTTTATATGTTTTTCCCCTGAAAATTTTTAGTTTAAAATGTTAAATTTTTAATAGCTCATATTTTAAACAAGTAATACAATGCTCCCTTTAATAACTTCTAATTCAGTTTGGTGCATGAAGCAATACAAAAATGAATGCCCTCCTCCAACCAAAAAAAAAAAAAAAAAAAGAAAATCTGAAACGTTTCAGATTTTAAATTACGTCCAAAGGAGCATTTTTTTTACATTTTTGTGTTACATTATTTTATTAAATATTATGTTCTTTGCACTTAAACCATAAAATTCAGTTCGACAGCAATATCGCAAAATAGTTTTAAAATGAGCATATCTTTAGAATTTACGATACAGAGACTCGCGCTCTGGAGATAAAAATATTTTTTCTGTACAACGTTGCCACTACTCGCTTTGAAATGATTGAGTTTGTTAATCAAAATTCATTAAAGTTTTACAAAACAGGAAATCGTTCAAATTTGGTCTTCCACATGCCCATATTCGCAGTAGGATTACGTCATTGAAAATTCAATGGCTCTATGTACCATTGTTTTTATCACAATGCGAGAAATATACATGCATTTATGCAGATTTTTCATTATTTAATTTCTTTAAATATAACACAGGGCGATAATACTTTGTGGCAACAGTTTGAAAAGTGATTCAATGTAAATTCCGTTTGCAGTGATTTGTAGTATAATAAGTGATTCCGTTTGTAGTGAATCGACGTAAAATCACAAAATGAAAACAATAGTTCTTCAGGGGCAAAGCCCCTTTGGACTAAAAAAGGAACATTACTTACCTAAGCTATTATTGGCACTTTGACCATACCCAAATGGATGTGAACCTGCACTAGACATGACCTAGAAATATAAACAGAGTAATAAAAACAAATATAACAAATGCCAAAAAAAAAGGTTATTCTCACTTGTAAGGGTGTAAAAATGACAAAGTTTCAATAATGAATACATCTTAAATGAGTTTAAGAAATAAAAAATTATTAAGAAAAAGGCTTTTAAAAAATAAGCTTGTATTAAAAATTCATAAAATATTTAATGAACTAAAAGAAGGAAAATAATTTATTATGCAGTTTAATGGGAACAGTAGATTGACAATTTTTCTAACTAACTTTATATCATAAATTAGTTAAATTTGTGGTACCATTGCTAAAGTTATAAAGTTAATGGCTCATACTTTTCTCATTGCAATTAAATTAAAAAATTGTGTTATTTAGATGCCCATGTTTTTATTACTCGTAATATAAAATTGCGGTTAGTCTATATTTTAAGGTACCTCTTGGATTACCACAGATACGATTAACCTGAAGTTTCAATAAACTTTAGAACGATTGGAAAAGAAAACATTGATTGACTGGTGTGTAAATTAAGATTTAAATGGCTTTGTTCACCTCTCGGTAAATTACGCAGTGAGATTTCAGGATTTCGAAACCAGAGCTCATATCAAGACTGAAGGTATGTGGGGTATAATAAAAAGGGATTTTTGACAGAAATGCTACCGACAGTCCGGCAGTATGGAAGATATTTTTCATTTTGTGAATTAATGTGGTGACAGCAGTATACAGATTCTAGTTTATATAATTTTAAATAGTTTCTGGATGCTGTTAAGGAATTCTGTGCATCACACATATCGAAGAAACAGAAATTTTTGAACAGGTAAGTCAATATTTCCTTTTTGAAGTGCATAGATTAGATAACATGTATTTCTATTCTTATGTTATTTCCTTGTTTGATTTAAAATACAGTTTATTGTGATTATATATTTTTTGTTTTCATTATGTTTTATTGCATTATGTTTTGGATGCCATTTTACTGGGGAGGGCGTTGGACGCAAACAAGAATGGTGCCAAAAAATCGCCAATTTTTGCTAAGGGATACTCTTAAATTTGCCAAAATTACCTATTAATTCTAAAACGAGAATTTTTTAATCAATTGTTACTATTAAACTGCATAATAAATTATTTTCCTCCTTTGCTAAACTAAACTCAGTGGCGCAACAGCCCTAATGGGCCAAGGCCTGCAGTACCCGAAAATCTGCTTTCTTGAACCATGGGCCCCGGGGTGCCCTGACCAAGTAATCAGTTTGCCGCAGGACCCCGGTTTTTAGTCCCCAAGCAAACTTAATACTTATTTTATCGACCCAATCAAGGGATGAAAGGATGACTCAAACTTGCCCAGACCCGGGATCAGATCGAACCCCGGATCTGTGGTGCTGCTCTGCAATGCGCTAGCCACTGGGCTTCATTTTCCTCCTTTAATTTCATTAAATATTTTACAAGTTTTAAATAAAAGTTTATTTTTAAAAAAATATTTCTTTTTAATATTTTTTTTATGTATCAGCAACACATTATTAACCAAACTTCACAACTGAAAACTCGCTTTTCAGTGATGACTACGATGACAACTCTTTTACTTCCAATGAATCTTACAATCCAGGCTTTTATTACATAAAATGGTCTAACAAATACAGCAAATTTGCAAAATAAAAAAATTAATTAAATTAAATTAAAAATCTTGCATGAACTTCATTTTAATTTTTTGCCACTCTATCTCATAGTGTGAGTTTTAGTTTGTTCATTAAATGAAGTATATGCAAAAAAATGCTTTAACATCAAATTTAAAAACTAAATCAAATTTGAACAAATCGCTTCGCTACATTCCACTGTTGTCCACAATGAGTGTTTATATGAAAAATTTGGGCTTTATAGCTTATCAGGAAATAGTTTAAAAATTGACAGCAAAGTTTTGATCATAGTAACAAATACTATGAAGTTAAATAAAATCTTATAAAAATGTACCTAATTATTAACAAAAAACTAGAAAGTTGCATAACTAATATTTTTTTTCTTTCATTAATATTCCTTATTTTAAAAGAAAGAAAAGAGTTTGTTTTATAACATTTGAAATCTTTACAACAGATATATTTTTGGATGTTGTAATTCTAAGGTCCTATAAAAGACTATATTATTATGTGACATAAAATTAACAAAATCAAATTTTAAAATGAAATGCTGCAAAAAATGCATATAAACTTGTTAAATGGAGGGAAAAAAACAAGACTTAAATGACAAGCTAGATTTCATTGCAAATAATTTTAAATGGTAATCAGTTTTTAAACTTTGTAGTTTTATAAAATATTTTCTCTCTCCTTTCTGCATGCCTTCACGGTGTGTAATGGTAGCACACTCGGTACACATTCGAGAGGTCCAGCTCCTCGCAAAGACATTGCTCATTTTTCCTGTCTCCTGCTTCAAAATAACCTAATGATTCTACAGTGGTGCCCAAACTAAAAGGTGGTGGATGATGATTCTTACCACCAGGATTTGGCGACTGGGCCCCCAAACCCCCAGTTGCCCTTTAAAAGGGGGAGTATATAAGATATTTTCTCGCGCCTTTCTGCATGCCTTCATAGTGTAATGGTAGCATACTCAAAGTGTTTTTGAGAGGTTACAGCCGAAATGAGTGATTAAAAAACTTAAAAACATCTTACAAACTTAAGTTTAAAAACATCGTCGTCAAAAATATCATGGTAGAAAAAAAAGTACCTACAAATCATTGCATGATGATAACATCGCACATTTACGTTTCTCTATTCGTATAGTGACATATTATGCAAATGACTTTCATCATAACTAACAAACCAATATCCAAAAAAAAATTGATTGCATGCTATATATGATGATGACACTTTAAGAATGCTAATGACAGTTAATGGCACTTTAAGAATAAACGGAAACAAAACAGCATATAATTTTCATTAAAACGATTTCAGATTAACAAATGTGAAAGAAAATAATTTAATCATTAACTAAGCAATTGTTATAGAAATAGCCTCATGCGGTTATTTATCTTCCTTTTTCTAAGCATTTCAGACTATATTTTTCATAAAAAACTATCATTTAAGCTTTATAAAAAAGAATAATTTATTAATGACCTTTGTTAATCAACTATATAAATTTACAATTAAGTTTCTTAAGTTGCATTAATTTTCTATTCATTTTCAATTTTTAAATGCTTAAGTTTCCTTCTTATTCTTTCAGCAAAAATTTTTTAGTTTGTCCAAAAATATGAAATATAGAAGTAAAAAAACATCTCTCTTTCCTTCTTGTGCTCTAAAATTTTTATATGAACATGCATTTACAACTTTCAAAACCTGAAAACACATGTGTGTGATATTATCATCATGCAATGATTTGTAAGTACTTTATTTTTTATTACGATATTTTGGACGATGAAGTTTTTGAACCGCTTTATTTTCAACCATGAGGTTTTAGAACTGCAATGCTTTCTCTTCTCCCACGAAGTTTTCGTCTTCTGTTGTTTTCTCTATGTTTTTCTCCATGATGTTTTTGCTGCAAGGTTTTCAGCAGACACTATGTTTATGAGAAGACACTATTTTTATTTACTTATTTTTATTATTTTTATGAGAAGGCATTCCTAATTTTTCATATGCTTCAAAATAACCTAATGACTCTACAAGTTTTTGGTGATTAATGAAATGAACTGTAAATAAATATCTATGCATTAAAAGAGGCAAAAATATCATTTATAAACTAGCATAAGATTTTTGTGGTAAGCAGGGCCATTCTGAAAAATGTGCTTAAGTTGTCCTCCGCACAAGGGCACCTACTGGAAAAGAATGCCATTTCAAGGAAATGAATAATAACAAAGTTTAATTTCAGGTTGTTAATTAAGAAGCAGAATTTTATTGCCCAGATTGTGCAACCAGTGCTCGATTAAGGGGAGGTTTCATTAGTTTTTATTAGCCGTTATACACATCAAAATATTATTTTACATATGGTGTTTTCCTGGTTACCAGTATCATACTGCAAGGCACTAGAAGTTTCTTTTGCCTGGGCATGGCAATACTTTCATCCAGCATTGTGAAGAGACTTGGCTCACCCATTTAAAAAAAAAAAAAAAAAAAAAAAAAAAAAAAAAAAAAAAGAAGACTAACATAAACATTTTTAGCCTATTTATTTCCATAACTAGTAAAATATATTAAACAGTCGAGATGTTTATGTTACAGTTACAAATATAAAATAGAAATTTTACTTTAACGCTTACTTTTATTAAAAACACTTACTATGAAAAAATTAAAAAGAAGACATTTTTAATTAATTACATAGCTAATTTTGCTTTAACTAAGAGCTGTTTCGTAAATTATGCTTTATAGCATTATACCTTGTTTATTTTTCAGATTCAAGATATTGTATAATAAGTTGCCAAAATGATACTTTATAATATGATAGCGAAAAATAAAAATGTTTTATTTTAATGTTATTTTTTAAATATAATTCTAATATATTACCATTATTTTAAAGAAATTTATCAATGTTATGATGTTTTAAAAAAAAAAATCAGCGAAAATTCTCAGATCTCGGAATTAAAAATTTTCTATAGAAACTGATCTTAAAATCACAAAAATGTTGACAAGTCGTCAAATTTAGAACCGTTTAATAAAAGAATTCACAACCCCAAAAGCAAAAAGTCGTTTAAGAGCTCTTTATTAGAAAAAATGAATTTCAAAATGCTTATGTTTCACTTCTTGCTTAAAAACTTGAGTATCCCATCATTTATATTAGAAATAGAAACAAATTATAACCCATGAACTTATTCAAAAGATAACCATATATGTCAGTGAATCGGCAAAAATATTCCTCAAGAATGCTAATCCACACTCAAAATGGCGGTCGTAAAAACAGAGAGAAATTTCAGACGATTAAAATTAAGGACCTTCTACTGATTTTGGCTAAAATTAAGGACTTTTAAGGACCAAAAATCGATTTCAAAAAATTTAAGGACTCTTAAGGACCGTATGAACCTTGTCACAAATCTTTCAAAAGTCGCAAGTGGTATGAAACTGCCAAAGGTTGCCAATTTAACGAAACAAATTTTTTTAAAGGTCAATCAGGAGAGTACTTTTCAGTACCCTTGCATTCTACTAGAACTATTTTTTTAATTTAATCACTTGAACTCGGAACAGAATGATCTACAATTCCACATAAGAAATAAAAACCTGCATTCATGGTGCCACAAATTCAATTACATGCAAAATTAACCAATCGATAACAAAATTGCACACACACACATAGTGAAACACAATGAGTAAACTAAATAAAAGCTCAAAAAAAAGAAAATTCTAGACTGAAAACACAGCTTAAAAAAAAAGTACAGCACATATATTGTAATGAAAATTTATGTTGATTATGCTTATGTGTAACTAAAGTTACAGATAATCATTTCTGATACCACTAAAAATTTGATATCACTTTGATACAACTAAATCATTTTTAATACCGCATTCTATTATGCTTACGTGCAATTAAAGTTACATGATGATCATTTCTGAAACCACTAAATACTATCCTTTTTTAAATCCTAATGAAAATTACTAGAACAAAGATAAATGAAAAATGATGAAAACTCGATAGTTTTAAGAATATTCTTAACAAGCTACAGTTGCATGTATAAACACTAATGATAGAATATTAAATTGCAAGCTTTCACACATATTACATATTTTCAGCAAAACGCTGGGTGGGGAGAAAGAAAAGAATTATAGACAGACACTATTCACAGAGACAGTCAAAATATGATAGAAATATCTAGCTCAATCAACCATGAAAAAGCAACTATAAAATTGTATATAGTGACATTTTCATAAGAAATGAACATATTCATGTACTGTATAACCAAATATATCAAAAAATGACATAACTGTAGCCAATTTAATTGAAATGTAGTTTGGATTGGAAACTACTTTTAGAAACATGGCACTGATATAAGTGCCAAAGTAACTGGAAAATACTCTAAATAAGAACTTCTCAAATTATGTCATGGCAGTCTCGTTGAAATATCTACTATATCACACTATGTTTATTACAGACAGAGATTTTAGGCACTAATAAATATTCTATTTATTATGTGTATTTTATGTATGTTTATTTATAGCCAAGAATAATCCAGAATTCCATTAATTCAAAAAGGCCTTCCTGCGATTTTTTTGCACTTCTATACATCTTAGCATTACAGATGAATAAGATAAATTCAACTTTTTTTTTTTGTGTGTGTGTGTCATAATATCATGTTTTAACTCTTATGTACCTGAAGTTCTGTGAAAAATAAAATGCAGTATAAGAAAATAAACATACAAGCCTGGTACAATGTTTATCTCTTTTTTTTTCTCACAAAATGTGAATTTTAAAAAGAAAAAAATAATAACACTGAAAAATTTATGTATGTGAAAAGCAGCAAAAAGTGCAGATTTGCAATTTTGGCTTCAGACCAACAGTATACAATCAAAATAAACAAGTAGCTATAAACAATAACTTACCAAATTCCTTAATAACTATAAAAACAGCTACTATATAGAAGTTTGGGCTCTTAATTTTTGTCAAATGCAATGTGAACTCCACATATCCACAATCTAATGTTTACTTCCAACATTAATTTAGACTATATTTAAATTAATCTTCAAAGTCAGTCTTCTTAATAAATATCCTGAAAATTTAAGATATTGTTCCTTAAATTTGCTTAATTGGTGCAAATGTTAACAGCTCGTTTTGTTCAGTATAGTTCCAGAGACATATTGCTTTATTTCCATCAATAATGTTCTTACTCAAAACTTAAAACAAACTGTCACATTTTTCTAAAACATCTCCAACATAGCTCAAATTCTGGTCATACTTTTTTTGAAACAATTAGGTTTTAAATTTAAAGAAATACCTAAAACTCAAATGTTTGAAAATCCTATGCTTTCACCAAATCTAATATAATAAAATATTATATTGCAATGGAATATTTAAAACTTCTACCTAGAGTGCATATACACAAATGTTTTGTTAATTCAAAGTTTCATAACTCAAAATTTTTATTGTTTAAAATAAAAATCTTAATCAGAAAAAAAGACCAAAAACTGAAACTCCTGAGAGGTTGAAGTTTTGTATCACTGTACATCATTCCTTTAGATCAAGGGTATTTTACACTTCAGGTTATAGGTATTTTTAGAAAATACTGTTATCTATCAAACAATATTTCATAAGTGTTCTGAATATGTTTATCATATTAGAAGATTACTCTAAATATACTTTCAAATAGGCACGCAGAATTCATAGAAAAATCTTACAAGAAATTCAAATATTATATTTTCTGCAGTCATGTTGATTTTACTCACCCCTCAAAATTTTATATTTTAAACTCATGCTCAAAATTTATGCTTTCTTGTTAGAAAATGTCACAATTTGCTTTAGTGTTCAATATTTCTCCAAAGGTATACTCAGATCATAAAAAAAATGTTTAGTATGAAAGTAAGTAGTTAAATGCTTAGCACTTTTCTCAAAATATACACTAATCATAATTAGTATAAAAGAAAACAGGTTTAAAAAAAAAAAAAATTCTAGTTCTGTTTGAACATGGGATGTCACTATGTTCCCATCTGATGACAAACTTAACTGCCTTTCAGTCAACCTGCAATTTTTTTGTTTCATCAGTCGCATGCTTTTTCTTATTTATGTTTAGACAAAAATATTTCATGTTAAAATAAATATGAAATAATTGTTCTTTGTTAATTAAATATTTAAGTATGATTTTATAATTTTTATATCAGTCACCCATATCCATAAGATCAATAACAACATTTAAAAAAAAAAGTATGAGTTAAAATGCAAAATTTATTAAAATGGGTAATCAAAGTCTACATAAGATAGGTAATGTAAACATTAGCAACTGCATTGTACAGATCAAGATTCTAATATTTAAACATATTAAATATTTCGTTACCTCTCTTCCAGGCAGGATTACAAAAACATCAAATTACACTAAGATTATAATTTTGAAATTTTACAAGCAATTTAAGAAGCAACAAACGGCATGGGTCGTTACAAAATATGCTTTTTAGGATACCTTTAATCCATTTTTCAATTTTAAACACATAACTTTCTTCTTAAAATTCAATAATTCATAAATAATGTATTAAATTTTTTTATATCACATGTGTATCAAAAGTTACATACTGAATTTTCAATATTTTCAAACTAAAAATAATAAAACGATGAAGGCACCAAAACCATCCGAGTTGTATCATAAATCAATGGATCTTCATATAATTTCAATTCAATTTTTCAATTTAACACGTGGACAAAGAATTATATGTATATTTTAAATTACATTTTAAATCGTAAAACTGCAAATAAAAATTTGCATCAAACAGAAAAAATCCTAAATAAAGACTCAACCAGGAAACACTACGGAAACAACGAAGGTAATTAAGTTGAAAATCAGTACATTATATGCCACTCAAATTACTTTTTTTTTTATGAAAAACTTTATAAACTGATAAATCAGTTACTTACCTTGATGTAAACCCTTATTCTGTACAAAAAAATTCACTTTTAAAAAGACAAGACTACATACATACGGAGTAAGGCAGACGATGACACTGATTACACGATGCCAGATTTTTACAAACCTCTAAAATTTGTATTCATCTCGAAGTTAACATAGAAGAACGGGCAACAACAAAATAACTAATAAAATAGCAGTAATATTCCCGCATTTGTAACTTTAAATATGAACGCTGGAGTTGAAACAAATACTTAATATTTTAGAATATTACTAACAAATTTTGTATTTAAAAATTATTTTTACAGGTATTCTCTTGAGAAAGATAGCAGATGGGAGTTTTCAAATTCTAATGTTAGCAATCCTACTTTTTCAGTTTTGAGCATTTATGTAAATAATTTAATTAACTCTGGTAATAATAACTCAACCAAACAACAAGCCAAAATTCTTTCGTTGATACCTTTGGATAAAAAAGAAATTAATTTTCAAACTTCTAAATACAACACTATGTAAAAAGAAGTGTCAACGTACAGCTGCATCTAACAGATACTAATTCATAATTCATCGATGAGTCCGAAAACTTGCTGCTTCTCACAGTCAATGAAGTGAGTTGGAGACATTGTGAGGAACCACAACATTCTATGGCATCCATTTATGCGGGTGGGAGGGGTCTTTAAAAATTGCCGTAAATGTTGCTGTTATATACTGTGAGCCAGTGGAGTTCTTAGAATTCAGCAGAGTTTTCAGACAGCCATTTCTGTTTATCAATGTAGGATGAACTGTTGCATTATTCTGCTAGTATAAATCAAGAACATTAAGGGCTTACCATCTGGCTCAAATAATCCACAATAAGAGTTATGTAAATCATCCTTGCCAAGGAATACATCAATCACCTTAACTTTTTGACAAAGCATTATTCAACAAAGTACTCTGTAAGACGAAGCCAATACAAATATCCATAAGTGATATAGTATTTTAAATCCTATCTGAACGATAGACACTTTGTCGTTCACGTTTTAGGCACATATTCTGACATCCGTGCTATTTCAGCTGGCATCGCACAAGGGTCCTTACTTGGTCCCACCCTGTTCAATATTTATGTGAACGACATTCCGACCATACCCAACACTACTCTAGCCATGTATGCAGACGATACAGCGATCCTAGCTCAAAGTGCATTTGTTAGCCCAATTATACAACGATTACCACAAACCCATGCACCTGAGACTTGGCTCCCTAAAGGGAAAATTATAGTGAATGTGGATAAAATACAGCTTCTTCACTAGGAATAATTTCTATGGAAACTCAATCCCTGGGCCAAGCAAGTCCCTTATCTTGTGGTGATCCTCAATAATTCCCTGACATGGACCTCACACATTACGTCTATTATCCAGAAGTTTCCAGCTTGTAAAGCCAAGCTCTACCCCTTGATTGCTCGAAACAATGTTCCATCTGTAGATAACAAGTTACTCATTTACAGATACATATTGCGTCTTATTCTTAGCCAGGTGTGTCCAGTCTGAGCGTATGCTTGCAGAGTAACAGAAAAAGGTTGCAGACAGCGAAGAACTGTGTTCTACGGCAGATCGTAAATGCCCCGTGGTACCTCCATAAAATCCGGATCCATGAGGAACTAAATATAGTTCAGCTCACGACTCATTACTATTTTCTTGCAAAAAGATTCCATGAGAGGCTGAGGTCTATAAACAACCGCGTTATTAATATCTGTGCTTATGCTTACAATGAAGTAATATATAGTAATAGGCCAGTGGCTGTCATGAACGACTATATAATGTAAAATTGTATTCTTTTGTATTTGTTATGCCTATGTATCTATATATATTATTTGTTTTCACCAGTGGCGTAGCGAAGGGGGCAAGGGGTGCGTGATGCCCCAGGCGCCGCTCGCAGAGTGGCGCCTAATGGTCTCCAAACAAGATTTTCATCATATCACTGTGTTTTTTTGGAGGGAGGGGCGTCAAAAAGGTATTTTGCCCCGGGCGACAGTTATGCTCGCTACTCCACTGGTTTTTACATGCCATTTATACAGTGTTTCTCCTCACCTCTCTCCTGTTTATGTAATTACTTAATGCGCCAACTGACTCGTAACTGCCTGTATCATTCTATTATATGTTTCTAGCCAAATCACCAGCTCGCACTGTCCTTTCTGGTCTGCGAATGTAAATTGCTGATTCATGTTCAGTTATCTAATTATTGTTACATCTCTGTAAATTCCCTCAGCCACAATCTCTTTTTAGTTTTCTCTTGTAACAATTAGGAAAGGTAAACTGTTCTACATGGGGCAGGACTTCGGCCCAAGTACCCAGGTGCCAACACCCTTTCTAGAATATTTAAGTTATATATTTATAAATAAAGGGCCAGTGACTTGATCTGTTGCTTTCTCGTTGGAACTAATGCGACGAATTAACGCTTGTTGGAATTCATTGCCCCTGACTTTAAACAGTCTACCCTATCCCATTCTTTTCTTTCCATTAGGAGGGATACGAAGAAGCAAATATAAAGAGGAAATATCACAAGGCCAGCAAGATAATGTTCTTTCTTCCAGAAAGAAATTATCATCGATTACGTGTAATCAACCACTGTAGTAGAATGGTGTAACTCGTATGGTCTCAGAATTTCAAAATGGCAAACATTTAGAAGCATCGGTGGCAGAGGGGACGAAAAGGATAGCGTTGGTCGTGTGTATGGGGTCTATTTTCCCCATATTTCTCGGAAATTTCGTATTTGAGCTAATGTTTTTCACATCCTAGGCTCCCATATAGACCTACTAATTGTCCCATATTTTTCACTATGGCTCAGAGACGCTAATACTAAAAGTTAGTTATTGCTACCAAAATATATTAAGATATCAATTGGCGCTAATCTCGACATTTAGCATATAGTTATTCCGCAGTGTCGAATAATACACACGTGTTGGTTAAAATATCTAAATTTATTACACAATAATAAAAGTTACCATCATACCGAAATTAACGACGTAAAATTGTAGATAAATTTTGTAAACAGAATTATTTAATCTCTTGTTCCCATTAAACTATATCATGTAAATTATTTTTCTTCTTTTAGTTCCTTAATTATTTTATGAGTTTTAAATGAAATTTACTTATACAACTTTTTAATTTTATTTTATACATTGCAATTTATAAACCACACTTCTTACCAGTACAAGAAATGTTTGTATTATACGATTATAAGAAATAAAAAAAATTTTAAAGGGGGCATATTTTACATTTTATTACAATTTATAAATGCACACAGAGCTGTAAATAATGTAATATTATAAATTATGTGAGTATAAAACAACAGCAAAAGAAGATATTTTTAATCTCTTCGTTATATAATCAAGAGATAAAAATAAAGCAAAATTAAATAGTGAAAGGTGGGCTGTTATCCAAAAATAAATATACAAAAGAAAAACGTGAGTATTTCAAAATATAAAAATAATTTTAGGGAATTTTATGTTAAGTAACCAATTATTTATTTATAATTTCAGTTTTTACTTTAACGTAGCCTTTCCGTATTCCAGACAAGAAAGTAAATGAGTAGCCAGTATTTAAACTGACGTTTTGGAGCAAAGAGTATTTCTACCATTGCGTGGATACTACGTGTTAGTTTCCGGCCAGCTCTCTGATAGTTTAAATCATTCAGCCTTGTGTTCTATCGCTGCCCATTCTTAATATTCTGACACTTCGACAGAGCTTCTAGTATAGCAATTAATTGCGTAGTCTTTGACTAATGTTCCAAGTTTAACTTAAATTTAGATGTTTTATTTAGCTGCGTCACCACGAGTGGTGTCTTAGATTGTAATGCAAGAGAGTACCTTCGGATCCTAAATTCTGTTTACATAAAAAGATATTTTTTAACCTTTCAAGACTTTGCCGTTGTTTCAGACATAGCGATAATTCCTTTCACGTCTGTTAGGGGTATTTGACTAATTAACATCAGAAGACCAAATGAACAGATAAACGTGACGCCCCAAAAAATTACAGTTCATGTCGGAAGACAAGTAATGTTAAATTCCTCCCCCCCCGGTTTGCAGGCACCACCAGCCCCCAGGAATCCAGAGGAAGGTTTTTCGTTTCATGTTAACCACTATGCGAGCCTCAATGAAACTAGCCAGTATTTTCGATGGTAGAAGTTCGGTAGTGACTTTTCTGCAACAGAGACACAATAACCCGATTGCAAATAAAGAAAGGTCATCACGGCAGCTACTGCTTTTCAAAGACACCCGCTGAGCTCGTAAAAAGGCATAGGTGAATTTTTGTTGGGGGAACAAGGCAGTGAGAATTACAAGTTTTATAGATTTAAAACCACACTTGTAAAAGCTTTCCCCGTAGTGAAAGGTAGGGCAAAATTAGAAGCAGAACTTATTGGTAGATAACAGACTAAGGTTGAAGAAATGGCGGTGATTATGTTAAAGAAAATAAAAGTAATGAACTTATTGTATGGAGAAAGACCCGATGACAGACTATCCAGAATAACATTCCTTAAGACATTACCTCAGATTCAGAATTTTGTTGTGTAATACAGTCAAAAGTCGTTAATCCGGACTCGTCGGGACTTCGGCGATTCCGGATTATCGATTTTTTCGGATTATAGATCATCAGTTTAAATCGCGTAAGATGACATGCAGAAATTCTAAAATTAAAAATATGAAACCGTAATTTATGAAATAAAGAACAATTATGATCTAAAGGGTATCAAAATTTACAAAAAAAAAAAAGCTTAATATTTATTTGTTTACTTTATTAAACATTTCTTTCAATGTAAGTTGTTTCGTTTTATGTGATAATACTTTCTCTTTAATTCTATAAACAGACATAATTTCTTGTTCAGTTACAAAGTTCCGCTGTTCAAGTCCGTTAATTGCTGTGCTGAGAATACCGACTAACTTGTCAATCGAAATTTTTTCGTTTACACTAACCTCTCTGTCACATTCTTCATGTCTTTATCCATTTTTTGCAGCAATTCCACTTTTTGTTTGATGGACATCGAAACATACTTTCGTTTTGTACGATCCTTTGGGAGCTCCAGATTCGGAAATTCTATTTGACATAATCGAAAGTTAAAGTTTACTTTTATAGTATT